TTGAACCAGGGAGGCAGAGGTTGCAGTGAGCCGAGATTGCATCACTGCACTCCAGCCTGGGGAAAGAGCAAGACTTAGTCTAAAAAAAAAAAAAAAAAAAAAAGACGATAATATTCTCTCATCTAACAGAACTTGCATTAGAGACAGTGAGATATAATAAAATATATGCTTGGAAGTATGATAAAATAAAATGAGCAACTAATTCATGCAGTCATTCAACAAGCATGTATTGAGCCCTAGGAGGAGCCAGGCACTGTGCTGGGATCGGAAATGGAGCTGCTAACAAACCAGGGTCAGGAGTGGTAAGAGGCAGTTGGATCCTGGGTGGAGCGGATCTGAAGATACATAGATCATGAGGTCGAGAGATCGAGACCATCCTGGCCAACATGGTGAAACCCTGTCTCTACGAAAAATACAAAAATTAGCCGGGCGTGATGGCACGCGCCTCTGGTCCCAGCTACTCGGGAGGCTGAGGTGGAAGAATGGTGTGAACCCAGGAGACGGAGTTTGCAGTGAGCCGAGAATGCGCCACTGCACTCCAGCCTGGCAACAGAGAAAGACTCCATCTCAAAAAAAAAAAAAAAAAAGATAGATATATGATAGATAGATAGGTAATAGATAGATAATAAATAGATGGGAAGAGGAGGAGGAGAACAGAAGTTAAGCCACTTTTCAGCTTTCTTTGCACTACTGAATTTGTGCAGAAAGCCAATGAGAAGCCAGCTGAATTGTACCCCAGAATTCTGGCAGCATTGGCAGAGGGGATGGCAGGTGCCTCCAGAGTGAGGGAGAGGGTGCAGGGCGAAGCACATGAGCACTGGCTGGCTCCTCCTCAGAAGCTGTGGGGCTGGTCTCTGGCCCCAGGCGGCACAGTCAGGGGGCCCTCTGCTCCCCACCTGGCTGCGGATGGAAGGGCCTTGGCTGGGGACCTCCATCCACTCCATACGCCCCTTCCTTCACCACCTCCCTTCCTTAAGGGAACTTGGGGGGAGAATTTCCAAACCGCCTAAAAGGTCAAGTGTCAAAAAAAGAAACTAGCTGGCTCCTTTGAGGGCGCCATCGTTCTTTTCTGGACGTCTCTGCTTAGATCCACAGGAAGAAGCCAGAGGCAAGGCCCAGTTTCCAGGGGAGGATGGAGCACGCTCAGAGAAGGCCACGGACAGGTGCAGGCCCCCCCAGCACAGGGTGCCCCCTCCTCCAAAGAAAGCTAGTTCTGGCATCGGCTGGGCGCTCCCACCCCTGACTCCACTTGAACTTCCTGTCGTAAGTTTTGTTTTTTCCTGGAAATATTTTATGCCATCGTGAAGCTATTCAAGGAACAGCCAAAGGGAGCCAAAAGCTGCTGGGCACCTCCTCTGTGATGAGCCCTGTCCTCGGGAGGTGTCGTGTGAGAGGCAGGAGGCTGGTTGCTGTCAGTTCTTCCTCCTCTTGCCATAGCAGAGGAGTATGAGTCCCCGCCCCACTGATGTTCACATGACTGCTTACTCTGCTGTGGAGCAGGCCTGAATCCCAGCCCCCTCTGCCTGAAGCAGAGCCTCCCAGCTGAGCCCAGCTTTGTCAGCCGGACCCTAGCCCAGCTGCAGATCTGAGAGTGAGAAAGAATGATTGGGAGTCACTGAGTCTGGGCTGGTTTGTTACACGGTAATATTATGGCTACAGTTGATTTACACAGAGAGGTTATATGACTCACCTAGAGACACACAGCTATGAAGCAGCAGCCCCACAATCATCTCCACTACCTTGGATCCTTGTCCAGTACTAACCTGGCCTCAAGCTGGGCATGGGTGGAGTCACAGTAACCGCCTAACAGAGGACCCAGGATGCAGGTTCTGGGACTATTTGGGAAGAAAAGGCAGGACACAGTGACAGCAGTGTGCTAATCCCACCTGTGAGCAGAAAGCACGGTCCCGTCATCCTGTGGCAGGACCTGGGAGAGTGCCAGCCTCCTGACTCTGGCAGGAGGGTTCAGGGGGGCAGGTCTAGTCCTTCTGGCACTGTATAAGCTGGAGGGACCTGTTGAGAGGCCTCGGAGACCCCAAGACCTGTCCACCCCGGGCTGCGGACTCAGCACTGCTAGGTCTGAGTCAGCAAAAACACTGCGCTGGGCCACACCGTGCCTTTGTGCGGAATTGCAAAAAGATGCCCACTCCAGGTGAACACAGGTGGCAGGGCTTGGCCAGGACAGCTGAGGCAGCCTTTGCAGGAACTTGTAAAAAGGCTCTTTTTCTTCCAGACAGGCACAGCCCAAGGAGAGATACGGCTGGGTTTCAGCCCCTTCTGCCCTTGGACCAAATGCCTTGCTTAGGACACAACCTCAACAAGCAGACACAGTAGCTCTGGAAGAGCAGGGTCAATGCCTGTCTGGCTCCTGCTGCCTGACAGTGAGCCCCACCCAGCAGCCAGGCCAGGAGCCAGCTGTGCCTCCCTGGGTCCCAGGACAGCAGCAGCACACAGTAGGCCCACAGCCATCCGGGTGTGCCATGGATGGACTATCAGTGACAATGGGAAGTGGCCACCCTAGGCTTCTGCCTACAGTCCCCTTGTGTGCATCAGGCTGGGGGAGGGGCATTGATCTGGGGTCTGTCCAGTGTCCAGCAAACACCAGGAACCCAGCCCCAAGGCTGGGCATGGGGAAGCAGCAGCAGCTGGAGAGCCCAGCTCCCCCCACCCCTGCCCTCAGCCCTGCACCTGCTGCCCATTGCTAAATTACTCTCGGCCACTCAGGTAGAGCCCCTGCTCGAGGGCCCCAGGGAGCAATGGGCTGAGATTCTGTAGCTGAGGAGGGAGTTGATGTGTGTTGGGAGGGAGAGTAGAAAAGATGGGCTGGGAGGATGGGGGAGGGGGATCAGCTCCCGGCAGCAAAGCTGCCCTCCACTCCCATCTAGGCCTCCCTGGACAGGCAGAGCATGGAGAGGAGAGGGCTCTGGAGTGTCACGTGCCAGCCTATATTCCATTCATTCATTTTTAAAAGGGTTAAATGAAGTAAAACATACTGGCCCAACCAGCAGGGATGCAAATTCTCTCAGTTACACACACACGGACATTCAGGGACGGAAGATGCCCAACTCAGCCCACCTCCAGAAGGCCCAGACAAAACAACCTCAAATCCAAGGGAAAAGCTGTTCCAGAAGAGAGGAATCAGTGGACCAGTGGAAGGAACAGAGACGCTGGTTGGAGGAGACCCGAGAGAAGGGTCTTGTAACCCAGAAGCCACAGAGGTTGAGCTCCTGTTACTCTCAGGGTTAAAGCTGAGAAGAAAACCTCTGGCCAGGCTGGTTGCAGCCCCTGCAGACCACTGCCGACCCGCCCCGTGCACAGGCCTGAAGCAGCAGCCATGCTTCCCTCCGGCCCCTGAGGTCTTCTTCCTCCTGAGCCCTTCAGCTGTGAGCCAGTCTCCCTCTGAGCGCCCACCCTCACCTCTCCTTCCCACCTGCGACTTAAGTGATTCATTTTCATTCTGTTTTGTAAAAGTGACCCGCATGGAGATAAAGCAGTGGCAGCATGTCCACAGCTCTAGGCATGTTGCCTAGGGCCTCCCTCGAGAGCTTCACAGATGTTAAGTCACTCACACCTCGCCATCGCCCTTGGAGGCAGGCATCCCCATTTTACAGATGAGATCAGCAAGGCAAGGAGAGGTGGGGTAAGGGGAAGAGCTGGGATCCAAAGCCAGGCCCCGGGGGTGAACTTGGCTCCCGGGTCACCTGCCTCCAGCGTTACAGGGGAAAGGATGAGGGGTGGTCACACACCTGGGCTGTAAATACCGCCACTGGGCACTGGCCAAGTGATACCTTTCAAGGCTCCATGAGATAAGGTGATGTCACGGGGCTGTAATTTCCATTTCCCAGGAGGAAGTCAAGCCTCAAGGGGCCTGGGTACAGGGCCCATAGCTGCTGCATGGCAGCTGGGGATAGGAACGAAGGACCATGTCAGCTCTCCTGGCTCAGCTCAAAGGTCACTTCTCAGCGGCCCCCTCATTCTCCAAACTGTCCCGTGCTCTATCAGCCATCCCGGGTGGCCAGATCCCAGCCCCCAGCTGGGGTCAATCCGGCCTGTGAGCACCTGCAGCTGGCCCCTCCGGTGCAGTCAGGAAGCAAACACCTGCTTGCTCACTCCCATCACCCCACTCGGAAGCATCCCATCCGTCAGGGCCCTGTCTGTGAGGCTGAATGGAATCTACATGTCACAGGTGGGTGCTGGCAGGTCTGGGGCCTCCAGGCATCCCCCAGCTCTGCAAGTAGATGCAAAAACCGCTACAACTTCAGATGGGCGAGGAGCGGAGTTTGGCCAAGGCCAACAGAATGACAAACGTTAACCTCCTTTTCCTCTTTGCAGTTTACCCTCAGATACACGGCCACACATATAATCATGGACACCGGTGGTGAGAAGTGTGTGGTTAGGTGGTTTTCTCATTGTGGAAACATCAGAGAGGGTCACACAGTAGGATTACAAGCAAATGTCTTCCTTCTGGAACCTTCTACTCCAGGATTACAGAAAGCCATGTATGCCTACTACCATTTCCTACCCCAACCCTACCTGGGCTTTTGCTCATGATTTCCCCTGCCTTGGAGACCTCCTCTCCTTGGCTGACCACTGCTCATCTCAAGGACTCAACTCAGAGGGCACTTACTCCAGGAAGCCCTCCCTGACTGTTCATTGGTCCATCACCCACTCAATGACCCCTGGGCCTTCTGTTGTCCCTGTTTGTATCACTCCATCAGAGCAAAACCCGGAGAACAGGAACCTGGAGTGAGACCCCTGTGACCAGCCCCCCAGCCCTTCACCTGTCCTGACAGGTGCTCAGAGAAACATCTGCTGAGCAGAACTCCTTTGCAGCTTAAGCAGAAGGCCTCCCAGGAGCACAGGAAAATGAGCCAGGAAGCAGGGAGGGACCTTGGACTAATACTTCTGCTGCTTGGCCTCAGGCCAAGGCAACCCTCTCCTCTGATTTGCCTAAAAGCCAAGATGGGGCCCCTTTGTGCAGTGGGGAGGGGTGCATTTACCTTGCAGGGGTTAGGGCTCCGATGCCAGGGAAGTCAACCATTGTTTGCTGACAGTCCTGTGACAAATTGTTTTCTGCTGCAGAGCCAGGCTGGATGTCTGGCTGGTCTCAGGGTCACTGGTAGAGTCATTCCCTGCTGGTGGGGCAGCTGCAGACCAGCTCTTGTGTGCCAAGTTCCTACCTGAATCCGCTGGGTCACCAGAGCAGGTCCTGCCCCAGATCATCTGATGAATGCAGGGAGCCACTGTGTGCCCTTCCAAGGGCTGGGGTCTACAGACCAGGCGAGGGGAAGGCAGGAGTCCGCCATGCTGCAGAACTGCCCCAGGAGCCCAGGCACAAAGCTGGAGCTGACCCAAAGTGCTAGTCCCAGAGGGGATTCATGGCCCGGGAGAATAACTGGCTTGCACCTCAGAAACATGATTTATTAGGGAATCGCTGGGTTGAGCTGTACAGACCATCTTGTTTGCTGTAATAGATTTCCTGTGTTGCTTTTTGCCCAGGCCCGGCACGTGAGTGCGCGGGGAGTGCACGAAGTGACAAGATGCCCAACGTCTGAGCTCCTGGTGGTCCTGGAGACCAAGTGTGGTGGCACCACGCTGCATCTCGCTGACTCAGCAAGGGCTCAGCTGGCTGTCCTCGACTGCACCGGCTTTCTGTCCTCTCTCCATCAAGCTCCTGATGCTCAAAGCTAATGATGTTGTCCCAAAATACAGAGGGAGGCAGAAGGTGGATCGCTAAACCAGCGCTGCAGGTCACTGCCTGCTTGGAAATTACAGCGAGGCACTGGGGTGGTCCAACCAGCAGAGGGATCACCGCAGTGGTTTCCAGTCTGGGGACTCCTTGAGGGGTGGTAACGGGGCCACAGGTTCTCCAGGGGGGTCCCTGAAAACCTAGGTGGACAGCATCATCTTTGTTGACCAGACAAACATGGCCGTCACTAAATGCAGATTGAATAAATAAATAGATGGATCTGTGGGTAAATCAATCCAGGAATAAATGGATGAATGTGCTAACCCATCAGAAAACCCCATAAGCTAATTTAAAGGGTGGAACTCCATATGCTGAGGCTGCTTTTCTTATGTCTCAATGGCTCCCCAATTTTCCTCAAAATAAAACCCACTAGTTTCTATAATTGTAAGTCACACGAGATGCTGACATTGAGGGAAGCCCGGGGAAGAACCGATGGGAACTCTGTAATTTTCATTTCAAAACAAAATGCTAAACTATGTAAAATCAATGTATGCACTTTGACCCTTCCCGGGGAGCCCTCAGCTCCTTGTCCTTGTCTTTGTTTGTCCTTCCATGAAGGGACAGCCACTCCAGGAGGGGACAGAATTGGACAGGTAGCACTGACCTTTCCCTCAAGCCCCTCCTCAGCCCCTTCCCAAAGAGAGAGGTGACAGTTCTGTGGGTGAGCCTGGATCAGGGTCTGGTGCCTGTGGTCCAAGCCTCCTGGAGTCTGTTTTTGGGGGGCTGCCCTTAGGAGGGATGTGCTCTTCTCCTGGCTCACCCACCTGAGTCTCTGTTCTCAGGGGAAGGAAAGGGTGCTGGATGGGAACGAGGCAGTGACTGCTTGCAGCTGGCTTAACAAGAGTATACTTTGCCCACTCCCCCTCCAAGGAGCACATCCAGAGTTCAGTTTTATGCCTCAGGGCCTTTGCACATGCGTTCCCTCTTCCAGCCTCGCCCTTCCCACCTCACTCACAAGATGTTGCCCAGCCATTCCTTTGTGGCTGACTTCCAAGCCACGTAGCACTGCCCCTTGCCTTCCTTCCGTCTCTCAGGGCACGTGTGACACTTGTGTGCATGTGGATTTACTCGCAGGAGTCTCTCCCACTGTCCTGTGAGGTCCCCGGCGCCGGGATCAACACCGACGCATCTCTTTCCCCTTCATGCCACACTGCCTGGCACAGAGTAGGTATCAACAGATGTTTTTGGAGTGAATGGACTGACTAGAAAGTTCTGGTCAGTTTTAATGTTTTTAAATGTAAAATGTATAATGACTTAAGTTAGGTGCTTCACTTAATAGACAAAAAATCCCTTAGAAGACAGGAGGGACCCTGGGGGCAGAAAAATAACAGAACAATTCTCCATGGCTGATCATGTTCGCAGCTGTGAGGTCTGTCCCGGGCTCGCCATCCTGGCACTGGCGGCACTGGGACTGTCATTCTTTGCCATAGGAGGCTGGCCGGGCGTTGTAGGATGTTTGGTAGCTTCCCTGGCCTCTACCCACCAGATGCCAGTAGCAGTGTCCCAGCTGTGACGACCAACAGTGTCTCCAGACAAGGCCAGATTTTCCCTGGGGGGCTAAAACTGCACCCAGCTGAGAACCTCTGGACAATCATTCGATAGGTTTTGGCACCGTAAGTATTTCCTATGCTGCCTTGACATTGCCGAAGCCGAGCTCCTCAGAACGTGCCAGGCACCGGCCAGCCTTGCTCTCAAGCTCTGACAGTGAACACAAATCCCTAAGCCGAAGGCAAAACCACTTGCCACGAAACGAGGGCTTTGATTGCTACCAATTTCTTAAAGCACTCTCTGAAGGTTCTGCTTCAAATATTTATGGAGTCTATGAAATGGCTCCGGAGAACGAGTGGTCCTATTAGTTATAACTCCAGGGGTGATTTATGGAGCTGGGAATTGCTGCAAATGCTTTGTCTAAGTTCTCGGTGAAAAGCCAGGATCCTCGCCGGGCTCAGGAGCTCGGAGTGAGCTGGGGCGTTGTCGGCATGGAGGGCAGGTCGGAGCATTCCCCCTTTTTCTTGCAGACGTTGTGCGGGGAGTCCTGATTCCTCAGTGACCATGGCTAGGCACGTTCCAGGATCAAGCGTGGACTCCGAGGACAGAAGGAGCTGCAGACAAGAGGACAATGAAATGGTCTCTGCATCCACATGTTTGTAAAAGCCTCTCCGTTCACACATTTAGTCAAAGAAAGAGGTGACAATGATAGCTAACAGCTACGGGCACTTTCTGTGCTTGGCACCAAATGCTCCTCACGCATTGGCTCACCTCCTCTGGTGACAGTTCAGTGAGACACATGCTGCCATCACTGTATTCTGGGTCAGAAATGAGCGTGGGGCAGAGTGAGGCTCCCACTCCACCCCATGCAGCAGGTGCCTGGCAATACAGTCAGGAGTGGGTGTTCCTGTAGAGTGATGTCTTCCATTAGTTTTCTCCTGCCCAGTGACAAGAGAAAGTGACCTTCTCTTCAAAGGGGAACTAATGTCTTGCTGGCTGCAAACCTCATGCCCAGCACATCCCAGGGCTTCCCCCAAAAGTGCCATCTTACTTGCCCTTTCTTAGTTCCCCCAATGAGCTATCATCAGTCCCACTTTATAGATGAAAACCCACATAACAGTTTAAAAGATTCTAAATGGCTTCACTAAATGTGTGTAGCTCTGAGTGGCTGGCTCTGCATTCAAAGCCAAGCCGATCTGATGTCAAATCTCCCCCGCTTCTACGTCTCCTTTCCAGTCACTATTAGGCCTGTGATCCCTTCACGTCGAGCGTCTCACACCTCTCAGGCACCTTCCCTGCAAATGACAGGAAGGACCGCCGCACCCAGTAACATGTGAGTCCTGCTAATACCTCTTCTCCCTCCGCTAAAGGGTGTGGCAGGTGTGTCTGTGCCTTGCCAGGCAGATGAGCAGAATGGAGCAGGATTCTTCACCAGTCCCAGGAGGCAAGAGCAGCCCCAGATTTGCAATACTCAGGGCCTTCTGCCTCACTGGTGGAAGACAGCTGAAAAAGAGGCTGGATAGCAGAGGCAGGGAATCAGCAATCACTGACCACCTCCCTGTGTGCCAAGCTTGACCTTATCCCTGCTCTCAAGGCACTTCCAATCCAGTGGAAGAGGCAGGCACATAAACTCGATATTATGCTGAAGTGTTCAAGCAAGAAGAGAGACCCACACAGGTGCTGATGAAGCCTCCAGGGCAAAAGTGCTGAATGCTCACTGAGGGGCTGGGAAGGCCTCATGGAGGCAGCATCTGAGCTCAACTTTTGGGAAGGAGCAGGATTCTGCTATATGTTAAAAATGCAAGGTCATTCTGGGCTGAGTGATGTGTGCATAGAATGCAAACACCAACTTTAGGAGTCTGGACTCCATCTTTTTTTTTTTTTTTGAGAGAGAGTCTCACTCTGTCACCCAGGCTGGAGTGCAGCGGCATGGTCTCTGCAACCTCCACCCCCCAGGTTGAGCGATTCTCTGGCCTCAGTCTCCCAAGTAGCTAGGACTACAGGTGCATGCCACCACACCCAGCTAATTTTTGTATTTTTAGTAGAGACAGGGTTTCACCACGTTAGCAAGGCTGGTCTCGAACTCCTGACCTCGTGATCTGCCCAACTCAGCCTCCCAAAGTGCTGGAATTACAGGTATGAGCCACCATGCCTGGGCAGGACTCCATCTTATAATAATAATGATAGCTGGCCAGGCTCGATGACTCAGGCCTGTAATCCCAGCACTTTGGGAGGCTGAGGTGGGTAGATTACCTGAGGTCAGGAGTTCGAGACCAGCCTGGCTAACATGGAGAAACCCTGTCTCTACTAAAAATAAAAAAATTAGGGGCCGGGTGCAGTGGCTTACGCCTGTAATCCCAGCACTTTGGGAGGCCGAGGCGGGTGGATCACGAGGTCAAGAAATCCAGACCATCCTGGTCAACATGGTGAAACTCCATCTCTACTAAAAATGCAAAAAATTAGCTGGGTGTGGTGGCACGTGCCTGTAATCCCAGCTACTCAGGAGGCTGAGGCAGGAGAATTGCCTGAACCGAGGGGACAGAGGTTGCGGTGAGCCGAGATTGCGCCATTGCACTCCAGCCTGGGTAACAAGAGCGAAACTCCGTCTCAAAAAATAAAAATAAAAATAAAATTAGCTTGGCATGGTGGTGCGTGCCTGTAATCTCAGCTACTCAAAAGGCTGAGGCAGGAGAATTACTCAAACCTGGGAGGTGATCATGCCTCTGGGCTCCAGCCTGGGCAACAGAGGGAGACTCTATCTCAATATAATAACAATAATTATAAAGATAGCTTAAGCCATGTGAAACTACTGTTTCTGAGGGAAAGAGTAGTATAATATTGGCAATTTCCTAGGGTTTTATCTACAACAGTGAACGTTTATTGAATTCTTTTTTTTTTTTTTTTTTTTTGAGACAGAGTCTTGCTCTGTCGCCAGGCACCAGGCTGGAGTGCAGTGGCATGATCTCGGCTCACTGCAACCTCCACCTCCCGGGTTCAAGCAATTCTCCTGCCTCAGCCTCCCGAGTAGCTGGGACTACAGGCACACACCATCAAGCCCAGCTGTTTTTTGTATTTTTAGTAGAGATGGGGATAGTCTCGATCTCTGGACCTCGTGATCTGCCTGCCTCGGCCTCCCAAAGTGCTGGGATTACAGGCGTGAACCACCGTGCCCGGCCTATTGAGTTCTTATGATGCATCGTTCCAAGTGCTTTCCCTGTATTGATTCATTGCATCTTTACAAACTACCGAGGAGACAAGTGCTATTATTATTATTCCATCATACAGGCAAAGCAATGGAAGCCCAGAGAGGTTAAGTGGTGTGCCCAAGGCCACACAGCTAACAGGAGCCTGCTGCAAGATGTGAGCCCTGACCATATGGCTCTCAAGCCTGCCTGATTCCCTGCCACAGTGACAGCTGAACCCAGGGATATAGGGTTGGTCTTCCGTGGGTGAGTGGTAGAATGAGGCTCGTGTCACAGAGGGCTGAGCATCTCTTCATTCACTAAAGGTTTGTCAGCCTTTTCAGGACATGTTTGTGTGCTCTTAAGCTTTCTTCTCTTTTTTTTTGCTAAGCTCAACCACACAGTAATAGAATTGGGTGGCAGGTGACACATTCAGTTACTGCCCTTCAAAACTCCATGACCTCATTTTCCTTGTAGGTCACTAATCCCCTGGTGTCATTATTTAACAAGTTTGCTTTCATCATGGGAAGCTCTTCCCCAAAACTAGCCCAGATACGTGGCTTGCAGTCTGTTTTTGCCCAGGGCTCATGACGAGCAGATAGAACCAAGACTGCAGGGAAAAGGCAGTGCGGGGAACCAGGAGCAGGTGCCCTGCCTCTTCCAGAGAAAGAGCCTGATGGTTCCTGTCTCCGGCTAACTACTCACCCAACAAGAGCTTCCGAAGGCTTCCTGTGGGGCAGCTGCTGTGTAAAGCATGGGAAAACGTTTACATTGACATCCTGCCATCTTGCTGCAAAGAAACGGAAGTCCTCTATGGACTTGAAATGATTTCCAGCAGAGGACGGGTTTTCAGTCCGGTGGCAATTCTGTGTTTGTAGTGATAACTTTGAAGGAAACTGAAGAGCACTTGAGGAACTTGGAACCGTAAGGGCATGAAGATGCATTCCTGGTTGGTTCATTCATGCAGTGTTGCTCCACCTATTTCCTCAAAGGCTTTTCTAAAGCTTTCTGGCCAGTATCACTGACAGCAGACACTGGAGGGTTTGTTTTCACATTGAGCTCCAGACTGGAACTTCGAGGCAGGGAGAAGGGACTGCTCCTTTCTCCCCAACCCCTCCCCATCCAGGCCATGCACCATCTGGTCACATAGTGATGGGAGGGCCAGCTCCAGAGCCATGCAGCCCGGATTGGGAGCCCAGCCCTGCTGCTTGCCAGCTGGGTGACCTTTGCCTCCTCAGTGCCTCGCCTTTTCTCACAGGCGAAGTGGGGCTGATGCTCATATCTATTTGGTGGGCCCTTTGTAGTTCTAGGTGAGCCCAGGCCAGTGCAGTGAGATTTGGGTGTGAGTGGTTTTTGTCTCACTGCTGCTGCTACCGTCGTCATCACTATCCTCTTCTAGTCCCCTTAGTCCCCTCTCTACCTCCTCACACTTTATGCTCCAGCCACGTTGCTTGCTGGACCTCCAAATGCCTCGGACACTCACCCTCCCATCTCTGCAAGGGTTCCCTTTGCCTGAAATTTCTTCTTCTTCTCTTCCTCCTCTTCCTCCTCCTCCTCCTCCCTTTCTTCTTCTTCTCTTCTTCTTCTTCTTCTTCTTCTTTCTTCTTTCTTCTTCCTCTCCCTCCTCTCCCTGTCCCTGTCCCTCTCCCTCTCCCTCTCCCTGTCCCTGTACCTCTCCCTCTCCCTGTCCCTGTACCTCTCCCTCTCCCTCTCCCTGTCCCTATACCTCTCCCTATCCCTCTCCCTCTCCCCCACCTCTCCCTCTCCTTCTCCTTCTTCTCCTTCTTCTTCTCTGATGGAGTCTTGCTCTGTTGCCCAGGCTGGAATGCAGATGCATGATCTTGGCTCACTATAACCTCCACCTCCCGGGTTCAAGCAATTCTCCTGCCTCAGCCTCCTGAGTAGCTGAGACTACAGGCATGCAGCACAATGCCCAGCTAATGTTTATATTTTTAGTAGAGACGGGGTTTCACTATGTTAGCCAACTAGTCTTAGACTCCTGACCTCAAGTGATCTGCCCGCCTCTGCCCCTCAAAGTGCTGGGATTACAGGTGTGAGCCACCGCACTCGGCCTGCCTAGAATATCTTCTACCTGCTGCTGATAAGGTGGATCAAAATAAAAAATCAGAGGTAATTCTCCTAGGAACGACCAGTGCTTTGTTTTCATTACTAGATAAGAAGTCATTTAAAATGAAATTTACCAGTCAGAAAAAAGAGTTTAAGGTCAATAACAATAGCTATTACTTTTTTGAATGCCTCCCTATTTTTGATTCTAGGCACTATAACAAATACTTCATATGCATGATGTCATTGAGTTGCCCAACAAGCCTGAGAGGTAAATAGTGTTGTCTCTTTGATCTTGTAGATAAAATAACTTAGTGTAATTATGGAGGCAGGAAAGAAGCTATGGGGATAACAGAAGGGAGAGAAAAATACAATCGGCTGAAATACAATGAGTAAGAGCAGTTTTCCTTCTGGTTAATGGCTGCTTTCTCTTTTTTCCGTGAGCACCTCTGATGTGCCAGGCACACACTCAGCTCTGCCTGCCTCAATTCTCCCCGTGACGGTAGCAGGCAGGCAGCCCCATTTCATGGATGAGAGTTATGTACGGCAGATTGAGTACTCGGCCAACGTCACACCGAACTATAAAGGGGTAGTGCTGGGACTTGAACTCAGATTTGCCAGATCCCAAAGCTCATAGGTAAAGTCAGTTTTCTCTGGGAAGACAGAGGGGAGTGCTGCTCTGGAAATGACTGATGAGGGTCTTTGGGACCAAGCCTGTAGGAAGTGCAACCAGAAAGGCAGGGGGGAAATGGAACAGAACATTTGTCTGAAGGCATCTGAACGCTACCAAGGCCATGAGGACTTGTGGGACCAAAATTTCCTCTAGCAAAGCGAGCAGGGCACTTGGGGGATGTATTTCCCGTCGAGGTGAAGGCAGGATCTATGCAGGAAAGAGCCAGCTGAGGGGGTGCAAAGCTAAGGAGAGCACTGAACAGCCTCTTGGAGCCAACGGGAAAGGGCTCTGGAGCGTTCTGTAGGCTTCTATTCCCTAGGAGTGAGCGTGAGACCCGCTGAGCACTGGGACTCCTCGTCGGCTCAGCCCTGATGACCTGCCCTGGTCAGAACAAAGGAAGTCCTCTGTGATGGAGTTACTGTCAGGCCTCAGATTACACCATCAAGGTTTCGTACATGATCTCCAGCACACACTAAAAGTCACCAGACGTAGGACGCATGATCTGACCGGAAACAAAAGTTAAAATCAAGTAACAGAAGGAGACTCAGGGTGCAATGGGCAGGGTGCTACTGGGGAGTTGGCTGTGTTCTGTTTCTTGACCTCGCAGTGGCTTTATGAGTATATAATGCTTGGATAATTTGCTAAGCTGTAAGTGTGTTGTACTTTCAATAACCAAGTTCATTTAGGAAATAAGGTGACAGGTGCCTTCTCACCTTCTGAGAATCCAGTTGGGCTGTCTGTGCTGGCCTCTCGGGCTTGGGAACAGGCCAGGACTCTGAAGACAGTGGGCTTTGGTGGACACTGTCCATTTCAGGATTCAAGAGGTATGTGTGAGCTGGAAGGGAAAATTCTTAGTCAAGCCTCAGCCCAGGATCCTAGGTGAAAAGTCTACAAGGCTCTGGTCTCTGCCATAAACTTCTTCACCCTCTAGCCGTTCCCAGATCATTCCCAGACCCCACCCCCCAGGGCAGAGGCCCCCTCAGAAGCCTTTGAGCTCTCCAAGCACCTCATCCACACGCCTCTGATGGTGCTGTCATGATCTTGGGGCATCCCAGAAAACTACCTGCCCGCCTGACCTTCCCCTACCTGGCTGCAAGCTCATTCCAAGCAGGAACCGCCACCTTAGCAAGCCGGCTTATCTTCGTAAGCCCAGCAACCCTTATGTGGAATCTGGCATGTGGCAGCGCTCCAGAAATGTCCAGTGAAAAAATAACCCAATCGGTCTAGTACATTTCCTTCTTTGAAAGGAGACAAAGCTGAGCCAGAGGGGGGAGGAGGCTTGCCTGGGGCCACAGGTGGAAAATGAGTGGCAGCAGCAGCCCAGCTAGGATCTGCGCCTCTCCAACTGTGAGACCAGGTGCCAAGTCAGGCTGTAGGGACAGGCCTGTAGGTGAAGGTAGAGCAGGACAGGCCATCCTGAGGCGTCAAGGACTGAGAACAGGTCTCTCTGCTCGTGTGCTAACATCCTGCTTTGTGTCACGGGCCAGACGTTCCAGAGGAAGGTCATATTATCCTTCTCTTAAAAGCATGTATGGCTCAGAGAGGTTAATGAATGCATCTAAGACCACACAGCTGGCAAGAATAGAATCTACTAATAAGAACCACTAGACGAACAGATCTCAATAGCAGCTTGTCGGTCTTAAAGGCAACACCCTCCAGACTTTCTTCACTTTTTTTACAGAGCACCTGATCCGAGCACAACACTAAACAAATCCTTAGGAGTCCCGTCGCACCCCCGCGCTGAGGGCACGTAGCTGTGCTTAAACAAGGCCCAGTCAAATACCACCTATTCCCCCAAAACCATTTAAATAAAAATAAAAGTAAGACAAGGCCCAGGAAAACTCTGTCTGGGCAGGCAGTGGCTTAATTTTCTTTTTAATAATGAACATAGGCCTGGCACAGTGGCTCACACCCGTAATCCCAGCACTGTGGGAGGCCGAGGCGGGCGGATCACTTGAGGTCAGAAGTTCAAGACCAGCCTGGCCAATATGGAGTAACCCCATCCCTACAAAAATATAAAAATTAGCCTGGCATGATAGTGGGTGCCTGCAATCCCAGCTACTCGGGAAGCTGAGATGGGAGAATTGCTCAAACCCAGGAGGCAGAAGTTGCAGTGAGCCAAGATTGCGCCATTGCCCTCCAGCCTGGGTGACAGAGCAAGACTCCTTCTCAAATATAAATAAATAAATATAAATAAAAATAACAGAACAGCAACAAAAGAAGCACTCATGTTACTGTCTCTCCATCTCTCTGGTAACCACGGATGGTATTTCAGTTGCTGTCCCAGCCTAAATTGCAAATCGGACACAAATGTGCATGTAGAAGTATAAAGCTATGATCATATGAAACACTCCATATCCTAAGAGTTTTAAAATTGGCAGAACACGGTAATTTCCATGCTGTCACACGGCGTTTCTCAGGACCATGTTAATGACTATGTTGTATTTCACTGATTGCACGGATTCATTAACAATACTGAGGATTTCCCCCAATTTTTCACTATTATAGAGGCACTGGTAGGAACACACCTGTCCACAGAGCTTTCACATACAGAATTATTTACTTAGGGTGAGTTTCCAGGAGCGAAACTCTAGCACTGAGGAATTTGGACGTCTGTATGCTTCCAGTATGTTCTCTCATTGTGAAATAAGAAGGCAATGCCACGTAGGAAAGGAGGGAGAAGTGGGTCCCATTCATTTTAGTAGCATGAACGTGACGGTGGGCATCTCCCCAACGGCCCTCCTGTCACAGTGTCCTGCTGGCCTGGGCTTTTTCTGAGCACACAGGCTTTTCCTGATTGAAAATCACACTGACCTCTTAGAGCTGCTGTCATCTCAGACTTGATGTCCGGGTGGTGGCTCGTCTGCAAGAAAGAACATCTCGGCAGTTATTCTGCATGGTACTGAAGGGACAGCCTTGCACAGAGGACAGCAACTGGGCCAAGCAGGGCCATCACCCTTCCCCAAAACAGCTGCATTCTGTGGAGGACCAGCTCTGCCTGTGTGCGTGAAGACCTCCCTCCTCTTCTCTCCAGGATGCTCAAAGGAGAACAGGAATTGGTTTTGCTCTTAGGAAACACAGGCACACACAAAAATGATTCTGTTTCCTTTTCTCAAGTTAAAGCTCCAAATGGAGATGGTAATAAGTGTTTTACAAACTGCTATTTAAAAAAAATTTAATCAGGACATCTGGTGCTCCAGTGTCTCCCCTGGGGCCCCTGATTCAACCACCCAGGAATTCAGGTTGGGCTTGAACCTGAGTGCACCATCTGCACCACCGCACAGACCAGCGTCCTCCTGGTCCTTCAGTGCACAGGGCAGGTGAGAAGTGAGACAGCAATGATCATTCAAGATCATCCAACTGGTTGGCCCAGAGGCCCCCGAGTGGTTCAGCAAGAGCAAAGAGCAACTGCTGGATCTTCAAGGCAGATTTGAGCTGTTTTCAGACCGGCGGTCTGGATCTTGCTTCCTCTTGAGTGTTTCTGATGGGGCAAGGGCCGGTGTGCAGTGCTGCTGTGATAAATGTCTTCCCTGTCTCCACTTCCAACACCTGGTCACGCTCATCCTCCAGGTACAGGAGGCCATCTCTATGCCTCGAAGGGCGCTGCCCTCGCTTTCTGTCCCTAACAAACTTCTACATAGATGTCAAGGCCCAAATTCAGATGTTGCCTCCTCTGTGAAGTCTTCCCTGATTCCACCTGGCAGAGTTCAGCCACCTGCCTCTCCCACGGCCCCTCCTGGGCTGCAGTGACACCTGGGCTCTGTGAGGGTCCCTCTAACCTGGGCTGACTGGTGCAGTGTCTAATCCCCAGGGACTTGGGTTATGACTCTGCCGTCTTCTCGTAGTAACTGGACCATACCAGCACTCCTGGGGGCCTCTGCTGCCAGGCACAATGCATACTCCTGAACTGTGCTGTTAGAGGACTTTGCTGTAGCCCCTATCAACGCTGTTGTGTCTTCAAGCACCATGGACTTTCCTACCCCCGTGCTTGTGCCCACGCAGGCCTCGCAGCCTTGAGACCTTCATTCCATCCTTCCAACTGTTAAATCCTGCTTTTCGTCCTTCAAGGCCTCGCCTGAGTGCCTCCTACTTGTGGGAAGTAGAAAAGTTCCTCTCTAAAGTTTCCTTTCTTGTTAAAGAATAAGTGTGCTAATAACTCCTTGTTAAGCCCTATCCCATGTAGCTGTGAGACACGCCGTGCTTACAGGCACATAGTACATTCTATGTTACGTTAACCAAGATATCTGTGCTGGACGTGCTCACAGGCATGTCCCAGCTCTCCATTGCTTTTACCTGTTAAGAAAATTTTAAGTTGTTATCCAATCGGGTTTTATTTTAGATTGTGAGGTCTGTCTCCAGCCAATGGAGATCAGACACAGCAGTAAGGACAACCCCAAGTACGTAAAGAACGCATTTGTTTGTTTTTCCTTTGTTCGTTGTTCTCTTGCTGCAAGATGGCTAGTGAGGGTCCCCTTCCTGCACTTCGGGAAGTAAAAACTGCGTTGCTGAAAGATCCTTTGTTTCAGTGCTGATTGTTCTTTGTGGCACCCAGCATCTCTCTCCAACACTATTCCAGAAAGCATATCCCCCAATAAGTCTCTCTCCTCTCTCCTTATTTCCAGTGCTTCAAATGAATGCCTTTTACTACCCCTGGGTTTAGAGTCAGGTGTCTCCTCACCTGACTCTAACGTAGAGGTGTAAGAGCCTCTTATATAGAGGCTCCTTCAACTCGAGAATGAGGTTTCGTTCACCTTCTTGGAGGATACACTAGCAGAGTAGCCTAAATCGCACTAAACTGACTTCTGGGTGGCCCTGCATTTGGTATGTGATTGAGGTGAAAGGACCCTTTTCGGCTTCCAGCTCCTCAACTGTCCCATTGGCCTGGGGGCGCTGCAGAGCTGGGCTTTCTCAGGTTGACTCCTGGCTCTGCCACTCGCCGGTGCATGATCCTGGCCACGTCAGTTGAATTCTCTGAGCTTCACCCTCTCCATCTGCAGAACGGAAATACAGTACCAATATGTTCTTTGCAGGGCTCTGCCAGAATGAGATGAGAAGGAACATCTACTAAATGCCAGCGGCACCGAGGAGGGGACAGATGAAGACTCGCGCTAAGCTCTCCCAAGCCCTGCCTCTCTCCCCACGCAAACTTTTAGGGGGATATTCTACATTTCATAAAAGGTGGGAGTTAAAGAGAAAGTAATTGCCTGGATCCTCGGAGGCCTGAGCTTGGGGACTGCTGATTTAATGAATTGGGGGAGTTCAGGGCTTCGAGGGACAATTCTTCAATCGTCTGAGTATGACAGCTCCTTCTTTAGACCAGGTTCCTTTTCCAAAGGCCACAACTAGATTTCACTGACAAATACCCAGAGGAAAGCGGGAGGAGGCAGGAGGAAGAAGAAGCCGCAGGGCGAGAGGAGGTAAACTTAGCATCTTCTTTACTAGGTCACCTCCCTCTTTGCCCCGACCGACCAGATGACTCTCCCCTGCTAGTGGGACCAAGGCCCCTAGCTGCTCCCAGGGGAACAAAACTGAGGTTTTGCTTGAAGGTGCCCCAAATACTGCTGGATGCCTGTGTGTGACAGGTGCCCTGGCAGGCATTTGACATGGAGTCCTATTCAAACCTCACAGAGCCCCATGGGGGACAGCAGCCCCCACCTGGCCTAAGACAACAGGTGGCTCAGGCAGGTGAAGGGCAAGTGCCAAGTTCATGAGATAGGTCATTATTTAGAATCAGGGTGTCATCATCTGTGGGGAATCTCTGTGCCCAGGGAGAGGACAGAAAACAACCCCTTTAGGAGCATGGGAAGCTCAGGAGTTCTCTGTTCTCTGATGGGACCTTCCATCTGTGGAGTGGACCCCAGGCCAGACCCTAGGGGTGGGCAGGAGAGCCAGCTGCCACCTTAGCCAGTGCTGTGTCCCAGGAGAGCCCAGGCACCCCTCTTCTCCTCTCCTTTGGTACCCGGGCCTCTACCTCCAAAGTCTCAGGGGTGGGGTATAGGGACCATGTCACCAAATACAAGGTGTCTCATTTTGGGCTTGTAAATATCAAGGTTTTAGGAGTCTGAGAATGGAGGAGCCTGCCTTCCCCGAGGGCCCATCTCCAGCTAACACCAGGGAGGGGCAAGACTCGTATTTCTAGCAGAAGGAAGAGTGACCTCTGCCATGGTTGGGCTGACCTCATGGGAATCCCCCCACCCCCGGAGCAGGCACCTGAGCTGGAGAGAACCGGCAGAGCAGGAGGAAGGAAGCCAGGGTGGATACAAGGGTGACCGACAGACGCCAGTAACCTGGACAGCACAACAGCAGATGCCAGCACAGATGGCAGTGCCGGGACCCATGGCCCCCAGCCCATCACCACATGCCTGCAGGAAGAGCATGGGGGCCAAACAGTATGAGGCTCCATTTCCACTGCCCACCCAAACCAGGGTGAGAAGAGGAAACGGAAAGGCAAAGACTCAGTCAAGTGCAGGGAGGGCAGGTGGTCCCTGACTGCCGCCTGCATGGGCACCAGGCCCTCCTCCTGAAAGGGCAGAGCTCACACACAAGACCCCACACCCACCCATCAACAGCCCCCGGACATGCTGAGGCTCAGGGTCCCCGTGGAGCCTTGCAACAGGATGCTGGGAGGGCGGAGTAAGCAGATCCATGGAGAGCGTGCAAGGGGGCGGGCAGCGTGAGCCTTGGCCATCATGGATTAGCTGGATACATGGTCCTTGCTGCTCTGGCACGTCCCACCTCCAGCCAATCAGAGTCTCCCCAGCCATCCTCATAGCCCTCCTGGGCTCCCAGCCAGAGCCCAAAGGCTTCCATCGGGAATTCCATCTGTGTCCCCTGAATCGAGAGTTACTGCCCATCAGGCAGCACTGGACATGCTTCCTGCCCAGCTACCAGTAGGAGGAGCTGCCAACACCACCCTGCTCTCCACTAATTCAAGAACCAAGATGCCTGTGGCCTCCCGTCCAGCCCAGCTTCCCCCCACTCCTCCCCATGGCCTCCCATCCAGCCCAGCCTTCCCCTCACTCCTCCCCATGGCCTCCCGTCTAGCCCAGCCTCCCCCCACTCCTCCCCATGGCCTCCCATTCAGTTCAGCCTCCCCCCACTCCTCCCCGTGGCCTCCCATTCAGCCCAGCCTCCCCCCACTCCTCCTCGTGGCCTTCCGTCTAGCCCAGCCTCCCCCCACTCCTCCCCATGGCCTCCCGTCTAGCCCAGCCTCCCCCCACTCCTCCCCATGGCCTCCCATCCAGCTCAGCCTCCCCCACTCCTCCCCGTGGCCTCCTGTCCAGCCCAGCCTACCCCCACTCCTCCCCGTGGCCACCCAATCAGCCCAGCCTGCCCCCCGCCCATGGCCTCCCATCCAGCCCAGCCTCCCCTCACTCCCCACCTGGGGACCACACTGCAGCCAGCCTGGAGCTCTCTTAATTTCTGAAACACATCACATTTTTTTTTTTCACTTTCACAAGGTCTGGCAGGGACACCCTGGTCCTCAGAAGCATGTCCAGGCCCAGAAGCACATCCTTACAGAAGATGAATGAGTCTGTCCTATGACATCATTGTAACAACTCTCCCTGTTCTTATGCTAGGCTCCCAAGTGACAGATGAAGAAATGAATGAAAAAATTTTGATTTTCCAGATAACTACAGGGAGAGAATATGCTGACAATGTTCATTCATTTAGCAAATACTTAAACCTGCATAATAGTTCTATTTCTCATAGGAAATTTAAAAATTAATGTTCTGCTGTATACATCATTCTCTGTGAGTTTGGTCGCTGCAAGTCAGCCTATCCAATCCCAGTGAACATTTCAGTTCTAGTTCCAGGGCCTGTGAGAGTGAGGAGCAGCTGTTAGAGGTGGGCAGCTGCTAGGATGCCCTTCAGCAGACAGACAGCCAGCTTTCCAGGATGACACCTGCTGCGTTGAATGTTTGATACTTGGACAACCTGGAACTCTGCTTTCAATTGCATCTCACTTAACTCCTGGTTATTGGGCCCCTAGCGGATCCCAGGGACGATGCAGGCACTTCAGAGAGATTCTGCCCTCTTTTCTCACCCCTATTCTAGTTCTGAAAGTCTTCCACCCCTTGGGCAAAGAGAAGAGCAAGAGACTGGGAGTCTGGGGCTCTGGATTCAAGTTCCGGCTCTGAACCGAGTCAGCAAATGGCCCTGAACCTCCAGGCCTCCATCTCTGTCTAATGATTTGGACCAGAGGGCACCTCTGAAGGCTGTGAGGAAAAGGAAGGGTCAGAGGAGGCTGGCCTTGCAGAGACCAGGCTGGGCAGAGCTGCAGAGGGAGACTCAGACCTGGTGCCAAGGGGCCAAGAGCAAGCCCCATAGGCAGATCCTGGAGGGAGTGTGGAAAACAGCCCCGTCTGTTTGCCGTGAAAGCTGCATCTCGCCTGTGCGCATAAGGAGCAGAGCTAGTGTGGCGGGGGCACTGCTGGCTTGCTGCCGAATGGGGCTCCATGTATGTGTGTGGGCAGGCGTGGCTGGGCACCCGTGGGTGCTGACTGGAGTCAGGAGAACTCATCCCTGCTTGCACTGCCTGTGTGACCTGGAGCACATCTAACCTCTCTGGCCTCTGTTTCCTCTTTTGTTGACCACTGGGACCGGAGATTCTCATTCATTTGGTTCATTATTTCATTCACTCATTCAACAAACATTCTTCCAGGTTTGTTGCAGATTCTCAGAGCCAGGCACTGGGAAGACAAAGATGGCTATGGAGCAGCCCTGGAACCATAAACTCCTGCAACAGTCGGGCGATTCCCTGCTCAAGCCCCATCACGCACTTCCACGTACAATGGAGCACAGGGGAGGGTGTGGTTAACTCTTTGGTCTGCAGGGTTCACAGCAGGCCGTCTGGGCAAGGTCACACCTGTGCCTTGAAAGATGGACAGGAGGCCGTGGGATGACTGAGGCAACCTGACAGAGGAAGGGCCAGTGCACAGGTTCCAGGGCATGCACTAAAGACCCATCTTGTGACACACACCCAATGAAGCTTAATGATGCTGAATAAAATCACTGTTTGTGGCCAGGTGCAGTGGCTCATGCCTGTAATCCCAGCACTTGGGAGGCTGAGGTGGGAGGATCATGAGGTCAGGAGACAGAGATCATCCTGGCTAACACAGTGAAATCCCCTTTCTATTAAAAATATAAAATTAGCCAGGCATGGTGGTACATGCCTGTAATCGCAGCTACTCGGGAGGCCGAGGCAAGATAATTGCTTGAACCCGGGAGGCAGACGTTGCAGTGAGCCAAGATCACGCCACTACACTCCAGCCTCGGAGACAGAGCAAGAGACTGTCTTGGAAAAAAAAAAATCACTGCATCTGTGCCCTGTACCATTTTCTGAGCACTGTGGAGGGTAAGGATTGCCAGATACACCTTCCCATGTTCACCCAGGGCACTGACACGAGCACAGAGGAAAAGCCAGGGGGTGTCTTCTTGGGTATGTATCCGTGGATGGAAGGAGGGAGGAAGGAAGGGCTGTTGGAGCCAGGCAGAGGCCTGCAGTGGACCTGCCCACACCCCGGTAGGAAGCAGGGACAGGGCCTTCTCTGGGACTCTACCTCTGGGACTCCGGGATCCAGGAAGGCCGCCATGTACTCAGCCAGAGCCACATCACCAAGCATGTTCTGCGCCAGATCAGAGAGCAGAAGGTCCACTGGCCCGTGTCTGTGCAGCTCCTGCAGCAGGCGGGTGATCAGGTGGTTCCTCTCCCGGCACTTATGGACCAGGGAAGCTATCTTGGCCTGCAAGGGAGAGAGGCCACGGATGTAGAGCTGCCCCCAGGGCTGCATGACTGAGCTGGGGGCTGGGAGCCAGAGAGTCAGCGGAGGCCCCTACTTACCATCCCAGCTCTGCCTCAGCTCAGCGGAGCAGCCTCCTCCCTGCAATGCCTCCCTGCACCCAAAAGCTGGAGCAGACTCCCACACGCCTCCAGGAGCTCCGCACTGCCCTCCCCATGGGGTCTAGGCTGAAGGCAGCAGGGCGACAAGAGTGTGGATTTGGGCCCCACCACCGACCAGCTCTGTGAGCAAGCTCCCCTCCGCACCTCCATTTGCCCGTCTGTACAATGACGGTTGTCCCGGACACCAGGATAAAAAGAGATGGTGCTGGCAGGCGCCCACCCAGTGTCCTGTTTCTATCCTTATCTCACATTTCCATAGCACTTTGTAAGGGATTATGGTCTTCATTTAAAGAAATGCTCTGCAGCAAAAGGTGGCCACGAGAGGGAGGAGGAGGGAAGCCTCGAGCTGCGGGAGCTTCACGGTCCACTCTGCACCTTCCCAGCTACCGCGTCTGCAGGGGTGCGGCAGGAATTATGACAATTTTTATTTTACTGGCACCAACTCGAGGCTCAGCCAGACACAGAAATGTGGGGTGGGAAGTACCTTTAGGAACTGTGTGGCTCATGTTTCTGATATGATGGCTGAGAAAACTAAGGTCCCAGAGGGAGGATGATTCTGCTGGTCAGAAAGAGCACCCCGGTGTAACCAGGTTCTGCTGACACCCAGCCCGGGGCACCTCCCTGTCCACCCTGCCCTGAGGCCAGAGAGAAAGAGCAGAGCCCCCAGCTTCTCCCCTGACCCAGGCCCATGTTCGAATTGAAATGTTACCCTAACCAAATTCCGTGTCCTGCTAGCAAAGAACATATTAAGCCCCGTGGGCCAGTAATGACATTTCTGGGAACTGATCTTAAACATAAATGTCTAGATACACGGAAGAAACCTGAGAAAAAATGTACATTGGCCAGGTGGTGGCTCACGCCTGAAATCCCAGCACCTTGGGAGGCCGAGGCGGGTGGATCACCTGAGGTCAGGAGTTTGAGACCAGCCTGGTTGATATGGCAAAACCTCATCTCTACTAAGAATACAAGAATTAGCCAGGCATGGTAGCGCATGCCTGTAATCCCAGCTACTCGGGAGGCTGAGGCAGGAGAATCGCTTGAACCCAGGAGGCAGACGTTGCAGTGAGCTGAGATCACACCACTGCACTCCAGCCTGGGGGACAGAGCAAGATTTCATCTCAAAAAAAGAAAAGGAAAAAGAAAAAAATTGTGCATTACAGTGTTTATATACAATTAATGACACAAGAAAGAGATAGAAAGGAAGGGGCTTAAACACAGAGCATGGGGGTGGTGATTTTATGAACCAAGGCGTCTTGCACTGGGATTCCATCTCAAAAACATCAAACAGCATCAACAGTGCAGCCTCCAAGGCTGGGACCCAGGGGAAGTGCCCTCCTAGGTCACCCCATCAAATGGGAGCAGCAGGAGGCAGACGTACGGGCATCGCAGGCTCTCAAACACATGGAAAACATGTTGGAGAAAAAGACATGGAAATGCCATGTGCAAGTAGGGGCTGGGGTGCTTCCTGTCTCCTTCATTCTTCTTTCCAGCTTCTTTTAGGCTGGAGTAGTGACGTGATCTCAGTTCACTGCAGCCTCTGGCTGCCGGGTTCAAGCGACTATCTGCCTCATCCTCCCAAGTTGCTGGGATTACAGGCACGCGCCACCATGGCCAGCTAATTTTTGTATTTTTAGTAGAGCCGGGGTTTCACCATGTTGCCCAGGATGGTCTCGATCTCTTGATGTTGCAATTCGCCTGCCTCAGACTCCCAAAGTGCTGGATGACAGGCACGAGCCATCGTTCCTGGCTGTTTTGTTTGTTTTTGAGTCAAGATTTCACTCTATTGCACAAGCTGGAGAGCAGTGACATGATTTCGGTTTACTGCAGTCTTGACCTCCCGGGCTCAAGCAATCCTCCCACCTCAGCCCTCCCAAGCAGCTGGAACTACAGGCGAAAGCCACCACGCCAGGCTAATTTTTGTATTTTCTGTAGAGATGGAGTTTTCCCATGTTGCCCAGGCTGGTCTCATACTCCTGAGCTCAAGCAATCCGCCCGCCTCAGCCTCCCAAAGTTCTGGGGTTACAGGCATGAGCCACTGCGCCCAGCCATACCTAAATTTTTATACAATAGAGGCGGATTACACTTCTAATGGGAAAAGTACTAAACTCTCTTTTGTTTTGAAAGAGGCACTTCGCATTGATTTTACGAACGTATTACCTTCAGGGGAGTCACCGCCAACTGTGCTTCATGCTTTTTTCTCTGAAGTTCTTCAAGCTGAAATAGAAGCGGCATTGTTTATAACATTGCACCACCACTTAGCACTGTCCAGGGCTTCCCCTGGTGAGCTGGGCTCAGAGCGGCTCTTTACCCTCTTTACCCTCATGGGGACTCAATGCCGGGAACAGGGGCCTTTCCCACCACCTGCCTGGCAGGCTCAGGGGAGGTCCGAGGTTTTGAATATCAGGAGTCAGCTCTGCCCAACTGCGGTGGCCGGGGCCAGCTCCAGGCCCTCTTCTGAGTCCCCACGCAGTGCGGCAATTTTCTGGTCTTGTGGTAAACATACAAGTTCCTGAGCCAGACACCAGGGTCCTAATCCCGGCTCAGCCAGTCGCTGGAACTGAGATCTTGCACAAGGCTTTCTCCATCTGCCTCAGTCTTCTCATCTGTGAAGTGGGCTCATACGAGTGCCCATCCACTGGTGAGAATTGTAGTGAGGATTCGGGGAACACATTCATGTAAAGTGCTTAGAACAAGCCCTAGCACCTGACCTCTCAGTGACCAACAAACTGATGTTACTATCAGGTGCAGATGAAAGCTGGACGCAGATTCTTTGAGACTGCTCCCTGTGGAGGGGGTCCCTATCTCCTTCCCTCTGATCTGGGCTGACTTGAGATTCCTTGACTCATAGAATGCAGCCTGGCTTTGAAGAGGACTGGCAGCTTTCACTTTGGGTATCTTCTGTTCCTGCGCCAGGATTTAAGAAGTCCCAGTGCCCTTTGGGGAGACCGTGAGACATGACAGAGAAAAGGGAAGGCACCGGTGGGGGCCACCTTCTGCCACCCTGCACATGAGTGAGGCCAGTGGGGACACCCTCGCCGACCGGGCATCCAGCCGGGCACCATGGAGTCATGCCCACTGATCCCTTGGAGGGCAGAACAGCCTAGCAGACTCTTGTCTGAATTCCTGACCCATAAGGTATGACAGAACAGGTGCTGTGTAAGCTCTTAGAACTCTCTCATTCCCTTTGTAGTCAGTTAAAACAAAATAAAAAGCTGTATAGATAAAAGGCCTCTTTCTCTCACCCAACCTCTTCTGACCTCCAGTGTTTTCAACCCGATGTACCCATATGAATCAGAACCCATATGAATTTCAGTGTGTACATGAAATTATACTATGCGAAAGGTTTTGGATCTTACTTTGTGGTTAAATATGCAAGATTTTAAAAGAACGAGATCAGTTTGTATGTGATGACACAAAAATTTCTGTGCTATTTTCATATGAATGCATAGAACCTGAATTCATTCTTTTAAAATCTTGCGTATTATTTAATCACGAAGCTGAAACAAAATTGATTTAACCAGTACTTTGTTTATGGAAATTTGTATTATTTCTATTTCTTTGTTTTTGAAACAAATCTCCAATGAATATTTCCATATATCGATTTTGGCACAACTTTCCTAGTATATTCAAAGAGTAAAATTCCGGCTTTAAGCAGACCGTCTGCTATTCAGAAGGCACTCAACCATATTCGCAGGCCTGGGTTAAACATTCTGTCTGCTGCAGTTTTTAGGAAATAGCATAAATACACCATGGTGAGAAATGTATGGGGCATTTGCAATTACAAAATGAATGAGAAGAAATTAAAAAGGTAACCTACAGAATTGGAGGAAATATTTGCTAATCATATATCTAATAAAGGACTTCTATCTAGAACATAAAAGGAACTCTCACAACGCAACAAAAGAAGAGTCAATTAACCCTATTAGAAAAATGGGAAGGGCTGGGCATGGTGGCTCATGCCTGTAATCCCAGCACTTTGGGAGGCTGAGGTGGGTGAATCACGAGGTCAGGAGTTCAAGACCAGCCTGGCCAAGATGGTGAAACCCAGTCTCTTCTCTACTAAAAATACAAAACAATTAGCAGGGCATGGCGTCGGGTGCCTGTAATCCCAGCTACTCGGGAGTCTGAGACACAGCATTGCTTGAACCAGGGAGGTGAGAGGTGAGGTCGCAGTGAGCCAAGATCGTGCCATTGCACTCCAGCTTGGGCGGCAGAGCGAGACTCCATCTCAAAAAAAAAAAAAACAAAAAAACAAAGAAAGAAAATGGGAAGAATCTGAATAAACGCTTCCTCAAATAAGACATACAAATGGCCAATATGCACATGAAAAAATGTTCCACGTTATTAGTCATCAGGAAAACACAACTCAGAACCAGTGAGAGACAATTTCCCAGTAACTAGGATGGCTAGAATAAAAAAGACAGCTAGTAGCAGATGTTGGTGAGGGTGAGAAATGGGAACTTTCCTACACTGCTGGTGAGGAAATCAAATGAGTTTATCAGAGACATTCTTCCTCTTTAACGCAACTGCGATGGAGATGTTCAAGAATTATATTACAAAAATTTCATCCTAAAACTGGGAACTACGAAAGACAATCATAGGAAAATTCTAGACCTGCAAAATAGACTCACTGAAATGTAGAACTAATGTAAGTTGAAGAGCAAATTTGATTCATCCAAGGAGTACTATTTAGCTGGAAGAGCGATTCGAAGGAAATATCGAAACTGAGCAGAAAGAAAATAATTTAAAATGTACTTAAAGTCTAATTTATGTGTAACTGAAGCTTCCACACGCCCCTCCCCACAGGTCAGTGACAGATAAGAGAAGAAAGCAAGACCAGCTCTTGTGTTGGTTGAAGACACAGTTTCCTCCAGTGGGAATATTTTGCAAAACTATAGTGTCATATCACAACCAGGAATTGAAATGGACACAATCCACTGATCTTATTCAGATATCTCCAGTTTTACGTGTGTGTGCATGTTAAGTTCTGTGCAATTCTGGTACCTCTATAGGTTTGAGTCTCCACCACTCACTTCCCTCCGACAGAGGAAGGGTTTGACCTTTATTTATATGACACTGTAAACCTGCTTGACTTTTTAAAGAAACCACATATGTGTATTTTTTTAATTTAACAGAGAAGGTATTATAGAGCCTGTGTTTTTCTTCTGTCCTATACTTTAAAAATCTAGTACCTGCTCCCAACCGGCTGGGCCGGTCAGGGAGACCTCAGCCGATCCTTGTCCACTCCCAAAACGCCCTGGGGTGTGGGACCCCTGGCTGACAAGAGGGGGAAAAGAAAGCGCTTCCCAAACCTTGGCCTGGAGCTCCTCCTGGAGACGGGTGGCCTCGTCCCGAGATGCCCGGTGGGTGGCGCCCAGGTCCCTGAGCTGGCACTGTAAGGTCAGTACCCGGTGATGGAGCTGCTGGGCACGCAGCTTGTGACCCTCCTCGGTACCCTCAGCCTCTGAGTCCTGGAGCTGCGGAAAGCACAGATTTAAATGCAATTTTTAGGTTATCTTCCAAGCAATTTGCCTTAGCCAACAAACTGTACCTGTTTCCCCACTCTTTAGTTATTTTCCCCCAACTTACATTTCTCTTACAGCAAAAAAGTTTTAGAAAATAAAGTAGCAGAAATCACTCTCAATCCGATTATCCTGCAGCACCTTTGCTATTATTCATAGATTTTCTGCAGACTTCCTGCTAAGCCCCTCACCATGTGCATGCATAGGAGTGGGTGGTTCTGCTTGGTTTCCGGAGGGGGACCTTGGGGAGGGCCTGGAGGGCCCCAGAATAACAGCCTGGAATATTATCTTCAAAAATACGTGCAGTGGGTTGGCATTCCAGAATCTGCTGGAATAGACACCAGTCACTCTTATGCTGAAACGGTGTGATGAGTGAAACTGAATGTCCCAAATTATGAGACACTTACTACCCTAAAACATAATATATTATATAAAACAGAAGATACCATATCTCCCACAGGCACTCTTCCCAAATCCATGCACAATTGCCTCTCACTCTTCCTGAATCTAAGGTGAGGGTAGTGGGCTCCATTCAGACGCTATGGGGAATTTCTGGGAGGGAGGACAGCGAGAGGGAAGGGGCTGACTTCAGCTCGTGGGAAGTGTGGTGAAATGGAGGAGGCGCTACTGCTCCCGAGTGGTTTTGAAGTCTAAGTTTTTTTTTTTAATAACTCACATACATACACACACACACAAAGATACATAAACGTATATACTAACACATAGTTTTCTATATAAAATTTAAAATACAATATATTTCTTTCGTTTCCTGCTTTTCTCCCTTAACACTGTGTCCTGAGCATTTTTCCATATTACCAAATAATGTTGAAAATGCTATTATTAGTATATACACAGCCTCCTGTGGCCACGCTGAGCACTCGAATTATTCTAACGTTTTGCCGTTATAATTGGAACTCTGACCAAGACCCTTGTGCATAAATACCTGGACATACCTCTGATGCTTTCCCTGAGATAATCAGGGGAGGATTTCTGGATCAAACAACATGAGCATCTTGAAGCTCTTGGTTCATGCTGCTAAGGCGGCCTTAGAAGGGAACAGCACTGCTAAAAGTTCCATTTGTGAAGGTTTAGGAACCCAGAGACTCGGATGCTTCTCAAACACCCTCCACCTTGTGAGGGAGGTCCTCTTTTCCTTTAAGTTGGCTTCCCTGGGAATTGTAAGGCCCCAAAACTGGTCCCAACTGAGTGGGAGTAGGTAGGAGGGGGAATGCCGGGCTACCCTGCTTGAAAACGAGAGAGAAGGGAGAAGAGGAGGAGAAGGAAGGACCCAGGTGACTTAATGGCTGCTGGGGCATCTCTCTTGTAATAAAATATACAATCACAGAAGAGGATTTTTTTAATTAATAGAAATATACACCACGTGGGCCTGAGATGCACAGGCTGGGCCCTGTCAAGAACAGATGGGTGCTCCGAATGGTCCGTAAAATTCAGCTCCAAGACTTCAAAACAGCTTGGCCTTTCTGGGAAGTATGTTGCCTCCTCTGCCTCCCTCCCTTGGCAGTAACTTGGACCAAGGCTTTGCCCCATGGGTCCTCAGAGAGCACCCAAGTATCCTTTAAAGAGAATGGCCCTGCAGATAGGGCCAGCCTGCTGTCCCATGGGACCTCCCCACACAGCAGCCCCGTGAGTGCCCAGCGAGTCTCCTGCTCTCTAGCGAACACCATGAGCACATGCACTGGCTGTACGCTGGCCTGAGGTGACAGTGGTGACACTACCCTCCAGGAGCTCAGGCTGGTGGGGACAATGACAGGCAGGTGTTCAACATTCAATACAGCCTGATGAAGGGGAGTCAGGAGGCTGCGACCGCCTGAAGGGGGCGCTGAACAGAGACCTCATCCAGCTGCAGGGTGGCAGCTGTACCACCACCACATTCTGGGTTGAGAGGACAATATCAATTTGTAGCATTTGCCAATTTCCATGGTGTGAACGTTCCCACCATAACTGACTACAAGCTACCAAAACGGCCTCACCGAAGGCAGAGTTGTGGGGAGACACACATGGGTTGGCTCTGACTTGTCTCTGCACAGAACCTAGCCTGGGGGTTGGGGGGAAGCTTTCTGGAAGAGACGCCTCCCCCAACAGGAGACCTAGAGGAGAAAGCTGGGTGCAGGGCGGGGTGGATGAAGAAGGTGAAAGATGAGGGCAGAGGTGGCAGCATGGTGTGTGGAGGCTGGGGTGTGAGTAGGAACAGTGGAAGCGCCTGAGGGCCTCAGGGGCCAGAGCACTGCTCACTGTAGGAAGTCTGAATCTCATGCCCAGTGCAGTAAGAAGCCACAGAGGGTTTTAGGTAAAAGAGTAACACGTCAGGTGGTGGTGACTTCCTGTTCATTGCCAAGTCCTGTGGATTCCAACTCCAGTTTTCACTCCAAATTCCTCAATCCCAGTGTCACCTCTTGGCTATCCAGCCACCACCTCCTCTCAAGTGTTCTTCAATCCACCCAAACCATTGTTCTCAGAGCAGACAGATCTTTTCACAATATAAACTGGGTCACATCATTCTGCTCAAAACCCTCTGATGGCTTCCTACCACATCTAGAATAGATTCAAATGAGTACCTGCGAGCCTCCTGCGACCTGCCTTGTGACAGCTGCTCCAACCTCATCTCACACTACACCCCTCCTTGCCCACTGGGATCCAGCCACGCTGGCTACTTTCCACTTTTTCAATGAGCCAGCCTCTGTCCTGCCTCAAGGCCTGGCCACTTATTTTCCCTCTGCCTGGAACGCTCTTCCTTGCTGCTCCTTTCTAACCTTCAAAGTATCAGCTCAATATTCACCTCAGATTTCTGCACTCCTACTCACTGGTATTGGACAACTATAAAATCTGGGGAGAATATATACAATTAATGCTTTGCAGGCATTGGAAGATGACCGGTGCAAGACCACAATCCTTAAGAAAAAGCATGCACTACAAGGCAGGCTCCACATTTCCCCGGTTCTCTCTCTGAAACATTTTTCAAACAATGGTTCTGAAAATAGAGCCCAAGCTGAGAGTGGTGGTCCTGTTAGGTGGAAAAATTGAGCTTGGAGTTTAGGGATGCTAAGACGGCCGGGGTTTCTGGGACAAAGTTACAGGGACGAGAGGGCTGCAGAGAAAAAAGCCCAAACACTGTTCTAGAAATGCCCACTGGGTCCTTGGCCAAATAGTATGCTATGTGGCACAGTAGAAGACTCTAAGCCTTGCAAAGAACAGCTGCTTGGAGGTTAATTTGTGACAAGACATCACAGGTCATACACTTCTGAGAAGGTGGCAGAGTTCTGGCCAAGCCAAAATGGAGAGGACTTGGTGAAAGCTGTGGAACTCAGCTGATGTCACTGAGAGGCGATGCCCTAAGAGCAAGGACCACACCTTGGGAGTCATATCAAGCCCTACTAGGTCTGATGGCAAAGCTTAAATAGGCCCACATGAGAATAAGATGATCTGCTGATCATGCAACTATCCGCCAGAATAAAATTCGCTCAGCATTCTTTGGAGAAAGATAATAATCAGGAATCTTCATATTATACACAATGTCCAATAAAATGGACATTGTCCAATAAAATAATGTCCAGTTTTTGAAATTCCTAGACATAAAGAAACAGAAAGGTGTGACTGTTCACCAAAAAAACAAAATAGTCAATAGGAGCAGGCAAAGAGATGATCCAAATATTGGCGTTATCAGGAAAAAAGGGCCTTCAAAATAATTATGATCTGTATATTTTTTAAAACATAGAAAAAAATAAAGAAAATGGATGTAAAGATGGAATATTTTAACAGAGAATAAAAATATATTTTAAAAGAATAAAATGGATATTCTAGAACTGCAAAATACAATAAATGAAATTAAGAACTAATTGAATAGATTTAATAGAAGATGGGGCACAGTAGACCACAGGACTAGTGCACTAAAAGGCAGGTCAATAGAAAATCCAGACAGAGGCACAGGATTTTTGAAAGATGTGAAATAAAGCCAAAACCCTGAATTTCTAGAAGGAGAGGGAAAAAAATAGAACAGAATAAAACATTTGAAGACATAATGACCAAGAATTTTCTCTTTCTTTCTTTCTTTTTATTTTTTGAGATGGAGTTTCACTCTTGTTACCCAGGCTGGAATGCAATGGCACGATTTCGGCTCACTGCAACCTCCGCCTCCTGGGTTCAGGCAATTCTCCTGCCTCAGCCTCCTGAGTAGCTGGGATTACAGGCACGTGCCACCATGCCCAGCTAATTTTTTGTATTTTTAGTAGAGACGGGGTTTCACCATGTTAACCAGGATGGTCTGGGTCTCTTGACCTCGTGATCCACCTGCCTCGGCCTCCCAAAGTGCTGGGATTACAGGCTTGAGCCACCATGCCCAGCCTGACCAAGAATTGTCTAAGTCTGATAAAAGACATAAATACACAAGTTCAAGAAGCTCAAAAGAAAAAAAAAAGCAGGACAAAAAAACAAATAAAACCATATCTAAACACATTATAGTTATATGTCAAACCTCAAAGATAAATAGGAAATTATAAAAGCAGTCCAAGATGAAGCAACACAATGACGATCACAATTACAAGTGATTTCTGGGCAGAAACTATGAGAGGCAGAGGACAGTGGAATGAGACCTTTACAGATCCAAAAGAGCAAGGTGCCTGGCTACCCAGAATTCAGAATCCAATGGGAAAAGAAATTTTGATGAAGGTTAAAAAATTGTTTTCATAAAAAGAAATACGAGAAAATGAATCACCAGAAAATTCTCACTATAAAAAAAAAAAGAACAGTTCTTAAGGCAGAAGGAAACTAGAGCCACAGAAGAATAAGAAAGAATGAACAGCACAAGAACATGCAAAGATACAGGTAAATGGAAAAGATTATGACTGTTAAAATAACAGTGGCTTACAAGATTTATTCTACATAGAAGTAATATATATAAGAAAAATAAATAATAAAAAGTAAAAAGAGAATAAATGAAGTTAAACTATTGAAAGATTTCTGCATTAATCAGGACATGGTAAAAAAAACTAATTTAAAGTAAATTCAAATCATTACTAGATATATTTTTGAAATGTCGAGAGTGACCACTGAAAGAGTCATACTAAAACACAAGATCACGGAGAAGAAAAATAAATAACAAAAACATAATTAATACCAAAAACAAAGGCAGGAAAGAAAGAATAAAAGAAAATGAAACCGATGAGACAAATAGAAAAAAAATAGTAAATAAATAAAACAAATTGGACTGGAGCGGAGGCTCATACCTGTAATCCCAGCACCTTGGGAGGCCGAGGCAGGTGGATGACCTGAGATCAGGAGTTCGAGACCAGCCTGGCCAACATGGTGAGACCCTGTCTCTACTAAAAAATACAAAAATTAGCCAGCATGATGATGGGAGCCTGTAATCCCAGTTACTTGGGAGGCTAAGGCAGGAGAATCACTTGAAACCAGGAGGCAGAGGTTGCAGTGAGCTGAGATCACACTACTGCACTCCAACCTGGGTGACAGAGTGAGACACTGTCTCAAAACAAATAAATCATTTAATTAAAAAAAATTTTTTAATAAAATAAAACAAAATAAAGAAGACTATAATAGATATTTTAAATAATTAAAAAGAAATACACAAAGGCACACTCAAGAGTGGAAGATTCTAAAACATGTCTTGGTTAATGACAACACATCGGCAAAGATAGAAGAGATTTGGTCAAGACAATTAACCAACTTGGCCTAATTAATGTACAGCAATCGAAGAATGTTCATTATTTGCAAGGGCATGTGGGATATACTGTTGGCCATAGACCATAACCTGGTCAGTAAAACAAGTCTCAGCAAGTTGCAGAAGACTAAAATAATATGCTGTACACCTTCCGACAGCAATGAAGTCAAACGAGCAATCAGCGGTAAACGTGTACCTGAAAAATTCCGGAGATGCTTAGAAATTAAGCAACACGTTTCTGAATAATTCGTGAGTCAAAGAAGAAATCATAATGGAAATTGGAAACTATTTTAGTTATTTTAGCTTTTTGCGGTTGCTTGTTTTTATTTCATCCTCTCTGACTTTAATTCTTTTTTTTTTTTTTTTTTTTGAGACGGAGTTTTGCTCTTGTTACCCAGGCTGGAGTGCAATGGCGCGATCTCGGCTCACCGCGACCTCCGCCTCCTGGGTTCAGGCAATTCTCCTGCCTCAGCCTCCTGAGTAGCTGGGATTACAGGCATGCACCACCATGCCCAGCTAATTTTTTGTATTTCTGGTAGAGACAGTGTTTCACCACGTTGACCAGGATGGTCTGAATCTCTTGACCTCGTGATTCACCCGCCTTGGCCTCCCAAAGTGCTGGGATTACAGGCTTGAGCCACTGCGTCCGGTCCCAACTTTAATTCTTAAATCAATAAAATAGGGATCGCTATAACAATGTCATTTGAGGCGATTTTGAGGAATAAATGATAGTATATGAATTTCCTGGCACATAGTAGATAGGCAATACATATTCTTTATCTCTAATCCTTAGAAACTATTTTGAAGTGAACAGACTTCATCTCAAAATGTGTGGGATGCCTAGAGAGAAATTTATAGCCTTAATTGCATAGATTGAGAAGAGCAGCTGAAAATCAGTGACCTAAGTTTTCAACACAAGAAGCAAGAAAAAGAACAGCAAATGAAATCAAAAGCAAGAGGAAGAAAAAATATAATGCAGATATAAGAAGAAACCAATGAAATAAAATACAATACATCAATAAATAGAATCAGTAAAACTAAAAGCTGATTCTTTGAAATGATTGATAAAATTGTTGAGGTCAGGGAGGAAAGACAGAAAGAGAGAAAGAAAGAAGGAAGAGAGAGACAAAGAAAGAAAGAGGGAAAAGGAGACAGGAGGGGGAGAGCAAGAAACAGAAAGATGGTGAGATAGGGAAGGAAAGCAGAGAGAGGAAAGGAGGGAGAGAGGGTGGAGCCAGATGGGACAGAGAAACAGAGATAGAAAACAGAATGAATGAATGCCAGGAACTCAACACTAAATATCCTACACATGGTGAAGGTGGCCATAGGAACACTGTGATATTTTATCCCAGAACTCCCAAAAGTCAAGAACTGTCCACAGATGAGGAGAGTGACTCAGAGAGGTCGGCATGTGATCTAAAAGTCTCAGCAAGCACAGAGCCAGGTTGGAACCCCGTTTTACCACGGTCCATTGTTCTTTCCATTGCAACTTTCAAGACTCAATGTACAGAATCAGAACTTGGGCTGCTTGAAAAACCGCAGGGTTGGAAAATGCACAGTCTGATCTTAAACTGTGAACACCCCCTTAGGGCCCTGCTGGAGCCTAACCAGAGGGGCAGGCTTCAATCTCCCATGGCAGGTGGGAACGGAGACCCTGGGGCCAGAGCCCCCAGGTGCGAGTCCCCGCTCCTCCCCTCACTGGCTGTGTAACTACAGTGACTGTGTTTCTCTGTTTTCTCTGTACCAGCCTCCTCTCCTCTGGTAAGTGGGGAGGATGACTGTGCCTCCCTTTCAGGACCCTGGTGGATTGCATAAGTGAATGGGGTGGACCCTGGAACACAATGTGATGAGCGAGCAGCTATGCAGACCCGACCTACCTCAGGGCCGTTGCTCAGGGACCTCAGAGCTTGCCCTTGAGCCACAGAACACCAGGGCCTCTTCTCTTTCTCCAAACGTGCTTCTTTCACTCCGGCTCCGCCAACACTTCCTCGAAGGGTGTTGGCTATGTCAGTGTTGTTCCAGACCAGTGATGGAGGAGGAGAACCAGCACTGCGTCCGGAATTCCCAGCGCCTGTGGAAGGTCCTGTCTGCCCTACAGCCAGGTTCGTTTCCTCCTCCAAGGGTGGCCCACAGGCTCTGGGAAGCAGCTGCCCTGTGCATGGAGTCACCTGCACCTCTTTGTCCACAGCATGCATCCTGGCTTTTCCCTGAAGGTGCTGCCTTCCCCTCATCGAACGCTCCTGATCCATGCTCCTCTGCAAGGTGACGTCCCTCTCCAGGATGTGGACCCTGCGTAGAAGGTGCTCGTTCTCCCTCCTGAAGGCCCAGATCATGTCTTCTATGCCCAGCACCACATCCTTGATCAGCTCTTTGTAACTGACGCCAAGCTCTGAGATCAGCACCCGGAGCTCCCAGTTCTCCAGGGCGACTTGCTCCACCGTGCCTTTGGATTTCCGAATGCTCTCCGACATGGCCTTCTGGAGTTGGCCCAGATTCCCTTTCAGTTTTTCATTTTCCTCTTCAAGCTCCAAAATTTTGCTGTAACTCTTCCCATTGCAGTCTTCGAGGTCAGAGATGACTTGTAAATATTGGTCCAGTTCTTTCCTTAACTGAGAGATGTCCCCTCCCAGCACCTGGTTCTCCTGCTCCAGCCTGGATATTTTTGTCACCTCTCTCTCTCTTTCAAGGGTGCACACTCTTTTATGGCACCTCTCTTGGTCTCTGTGAAGTTTGGCATTGTCATGTAAAATCTGGCTTCTCTCTTTCTTCAGTCTAGAAATGAGCTGATGAAACCTGCTCTTCACTCTCTCGAGGGCACGTGAGGGCTCAGCGGGCTCCCCTGGAGGGGAGCTGGCTTCAACCCCATCAGGCGGTGTCCCTAGGTCATCAGGAACTTTGCTGGTGCCCAGGGCCATGGTGTTTTCTGGCTTATCACCTTCACCACTCTCTTTAGACTTTGCTTCTTCATCAGAACAAACACCCTGGTTTCCCCAAACCCGCTGAGAACAAGCTCTCTCCCCACCAATGTGCCATTCCTGAGCGAAGCTCCAGTTCTCTCCCCTGCACACAGAGGCTGAGCGCGGCCAGCCCCTACCGCCCAGCTGCAGTGTGAACAGCTGCTGGAAACAAGCCTCCACCTCCTGTGCCAGCTCATCGATTGTGAGTGCACACCTGTCGTGTCCTTCGCTCACAGCTTGTGGTTGACCATGACCGGCGGGTTCAGCCCCGTCAGCTGATAAGGCAAATCTGGGAAATAGCGGCAAACCTGTCTCCCCCACAAAGAAAAGCATTTCCTTGCTCTCATGTCTCTGGGAGTCAGGCTCCTCTGGCGCACCCCTGCACCCCGGATTGGACGCTTCTTGATGCGGTACCTCGTCCTCCTCCTCTAGCCCTTTGTCTTCCGGGCTTTCTCCTTGTAGAATCTGAGCATTTCCAAGCCACACCTGGCTTTCCTCCTTGCCCCTAGCTGTCCTCCCGAAACCTCTGCCTCTCCCTGCCAGGAGCTGACTGTCTGTTGGCCTCGGCTCTTTGGTCTCGTGAGCGCTGGAGAAGGTGGCTGGGGGCGCCGCGCCTTCCTTCTCTGATGACAGTCCTCCTCTGAGACCCCAGGCATATCCTTCCACTCTTCCCCTCCTGCTCAGGGATTCAGGCCCCTCCTTTGACACTGAGGCCTCCCGCTGTAGAAGAGGCATCAGAAACTCCTGCCAGGGCTCCGGGCAGTAGGTGGTGGCCTTGTTTTTGGAAGCCCCGTTCTGGTCCTGCACGACCTCTGTGGCTCCAGCCCGGTTCTCCAGGCTCAGGTTCTGATGGCTTTCCTGACTTGGCTGGTGCTTGTCACTGAGGTTTTTCCCCTTCCTGCCCAAAGTCCCCCTTGCCTCCCCATCTTCGGTTCTTCTCCCCAGGCTTCCTCCTCTGTTGTTCCAAGTGTCTTTCAGATCCTTAGGGTCTCTTTTGGGAAATCGACGATTTGAAATGTGGGGGGCGTCATGGAAGAGGGAGGCACCATGGTCTCTTGCCTGGTGACAATCCCAGCCAGGGTGTCCTGTGGCTTTGGGAGGGGGTGGGGACGCGGTGACCAACTCATCTTGGGTTTGTAGTCCATCGAGCGGAAACTCCTGGAGTGGCCAAGAAGCTGAGTCCCCAGCCAGCCCCCAGAGAGGGCGTGTAGACGTCTGCACCAGGAGGAAGGCCTCTGGGGCCGGGTTGGCTGCCAGATTCTCTGAAATCTGGGCCGGGTCCATGGGGAGGAGTGACTTGTCCAAGCACTCCCTTGGGGGGCAGCCACAGACCAGGAGAAGAATCTGTCCATCCAAGCTGGGCTCTGCCAGAGTAAGCTACGAATGGAGAGAGAAGATGAGGGTGAAACAGCCCCTGCCACCACTCAGCACCCCAGCTCCACTCACCTCCTGCGGTTCTCTGTGCTTCCTCACCAGCTGCACAGGGCACAAGCTCTTTCCCACACAGGACACAGCTGGTACCACCCCAGGGCCTTCGTATGTGCTCTTTGCTCTGCCCAGAATGTCCCTTCCCACAGATAACCCCATGGCTCACTCCCTGGCTCCACTCACATCTCAAGGCAAACATGACTTTCTCGAGAAGGCCCTGCCTGACAGTCCTCCCTCACTCTTGGGCCATTCACCCCGTGTCGCCTCCCACAGCACCCTTCACGCCCTCACCCCCTGTTACATGTTTCTGTCCATATCGTCTAACTCCTGCAATAGCCTTGCCCCATCCAATCCGCTAGTCATGGGCCACATGGAGCTCCTAAAATGCAGAGTAATCAAATCAAGGTTAGCATTCAGTTCTGGGGTGGCACCAGCCCCGTGTGGCTCCTGGCTACCGTCTTAGGCAGTGCAGATGCAGAATGTGACAAGCGCTTTCAAAAGCTCTAATGGATGGTGCGCGTGCAGCTGTCTACTCCCTGAGGGCAGGACTTCATCTTGGTTCAAATCCTGGGCCTAGAACAGTGCCGGGCACACAGGAGGTGTTTACTTGGTATTTTTGATGTATTTTTATCTTCATTTATTTGATGTGTTTATCCAGAGAGGCGGGGGTGCCCAGCTCACAGCAGAGGCCCCGGCTGGGCATGGGGAGGCCTGAGGATGACATTTGCACTCAGCCAGGCTCACTGTGAGTCTCCAGAGGCTGTTCCCAGGCCTGGCAGGTTGCAGGCAGTTCTCAGTGGTGCCTCTAGAACAGCTTCGAGAGGCTCAGCGGGTCTAAGACACAGACGAGAAGGACAGAGGGAGTGTCTCAAAGGACAGAGGGGCTCTGAGCCTTCGTGAGTGGGCATACCAGCAAAAGGGCCCCTTCAGGGAGAGGGGCCTTGAAGGCCAGGAGAGCTTCCCTTCCCTGGAGGGGCCACTGCATCCCTGCTCCCTGGAGCTGCCTGTGGGCAGCACCCATCCTCTGTTGTTTTTGCCTCTGTCTGCGATGTCCGTCCATGCAGACACCAAGGCACTGTCCCAGCTGCCCACAGAGAAAAGAGCACTTGCCCCAGAGAGGTGCAGACCCAGCTTCACTCCTGGGTGTGACCTGAGCAGGTTCCTTAACCTGCTGGAGCCTCCGTCACCTGCCTGTCAAATGGGCCACCTCAGTGTTATAAGACATGGTCCTGGGCTTCAAGGGAAGGGGGCAGCGAGGAGGGAGAAGTAGAGGAATGCAGCATCCAACACCATAAATAAGAGATGCATCAGGAGCAGGACATGAATGAATGAAGAGGTCATGGAGGGCTCTCTCTGTTCAGAACCACAGAGCCACAGCCGGGCTCGCAGGCTTCAGCTCTGGTCCCATTAAAGCTCCGTTCCTCAGGGACGAGAAAATGGAAGTGGAGAAAGGCTACGAGTCCCTCGGCCTCAGAGCGAGGCCTGGGAGGTGAGCAGGGACGCAGGCTCCTGACCCTCAGGGCTGCTGTGGGGCAGGGTGGGCCATGGAGCCTGGAGCTCGGGGTGCACCTCCGGGCTGGGAGCCTTGGGGAGTCACAGTGGCCCTTGGAGTCTTGCCTCCTCCAAGACTCGTGGGCGTCAGGAGGTGCCAACGGGATGCAGCCTGCTCCATGGTAGCCCAGGTCTGGCACCCAGTTCCTCCCCACTCCCCATCCAGGTCTCAGGATGTTTCATTTCCTCTCCTCAAATCTCCCTCTCAACTACTTCCAGAATGTTCTTCCACACCTGGTGCTTCCTTAGCCCTCCCACCTCCTGCGGATGACCACATAGCCTGTGCAAGCCAGGGCTGAGGGGACCCAGGGGCACGGCACATGCACACAGAAAGCCTCCGGCCTCACCTGATCACGATCGAATCCTGCCAGGTCTCCTGGGAGCTCACTTGTGGTCTCCGGGCCTGGAGCCAAAACAGAAGAGGCCTGTCCAGGCCCAAAGCTGCTCCAGGCACAGGACTCCTCTGGGGACTGGCCTGAAAACAACAAGACCCTGGAGGTTACAAAGACACATCCGGGGGCTCTGCCATGATTGTCTCTAGGGACCACACCCCCTGGGCTAGGGTGAGATGGCACCCCCACCCCACCCCCAACTTTGAGCCTCCCGTGCCTCCCAAGGGCAGTCTGATGACCACCAGCACCTTGATCAGGGAGGAAGCTGAGGCCCAGAGATATGAAACAACCATCAGCAGGTGGGCGGAGGCCCCAGGGCTCCCAGCCATCTCTGTGGCCACAGACTCCTGCACATCTTTCTAAGCCTCAGCGTCCTCATCTGTCAAGCACAGTAATGAGCCTCACCCCAGCCCAGCACAGTTGGCATGAGAGCACACCTGACCTGGGTTGACGTGGCAGTTCAGCTCCCCAGAAATGGGATAAAGGGAGAACGCGGGCTGCGTCAGTCTGCAGCACCACTGTGCCACACATATGCGGGATAATGCCACCCCTCAACGGCCCTTGGGCTTGAAGGGCTGGAAATAAAACACAGATGCCCAGTTGGCCACCATGACTGTGAGTCTCCCTGAGTGCAGGGTCTCCCACGGCTGAAGCTGTTATAAGAGATATTGGCTCAGGCCAGGCGCAGTGGCTCAGGCCTGTAATCCCAGCACTTTGGGAGGCTGAGGTGGGTGGATGACATAAGGTCAGGAGTTCCAGACCAGCCTGGCCAACATAACAAAATCCCATCTCTCCTAAAAATACAAAAATTAGCTGGACATGCTGCCAGGCGCCTGTAATCCCAGCTACTTGGAAGGTTGAGGTAGGAGAACCGCTTGAACCTGGGAGGCGGAGGCTGCAGTGAGCCAAGATCACACCACTGCACTCCAGTCTGGGCAACAGAGCGAGACTCCATCTCAAAAAAAAAAAAAAAAAGAGAGAGAGAGAGAGAGAGATCAGTTCACATCAGGGAAAAGAGGCTTCTAAGCTCCAGCAGCTTCCACATCTGCCAGGTGCAAGTCTCACTGCCTCACCCTGGAGCTGTCTGGGAAGTGGGGGGACAGGGTGGCTCCTGGTCATCACATGGAATTCTGTGAAGGCAAGTCCCTGCCGCCAACCTGCTTGCCTGTGGGGCCCTCTGGCTGGCATCCTCCTGAGGGTCGAGGGTATGAGCCTGTGTCCAGCTGAGCCCAAGCCAAAGGCTTCTTGGTGGGAGCTGCACCCTGATCCCACCTGCAGCAGCTGTATGACCCTGAGTGAGGAACCGTACCTCTCTGAACCTCAACTCTTGTCTGTAGAGAAGGGGGACCACCCCTCCCCCCACATCATCTGGACACGATGAGGAGGAAGCGAGCTAGCCCCTCAGTGGGTATTGCCTGGGACCCCATCCTCCACGCACTGCCGCACCCGCACACCTGCTGAGCCCCTTTGTCCAGGAACATCGTCGGACCGCAGAGAGCTCTGCCAGCCTTGGCTTCTACAGGGGTCCAGGGCCTCCTCTCTGGGCAGGGGCAGTGAGTCACCCTGAACACAGCCCAGGGCATCCTGCAAGAAGACAGAGGAAGTCAGGAGCCACCGGTGTCCTGGCTGAAGTGTGCACTCCAAGCCCATCCCCAGAGGCCCCCATACAGAGGGGTGGAGTCCCTTCCATAGGTGAGGAAACCGAGGCTCAGAGGGCAGAGAGCTCACAGCCTGGCAGCATAGCCCCCACCTTGTGCTTTCGGCTCCCCAGGCCAAACTGCCCCCTCTTAGCACTTGGATGCCTGTCCACAGATAACGAGGGCAGCGTTCAGTCCTCAAAGGAGTGTGTCCATCCAGCCAAGAAGCACCCAGGTCCCCTAAGTAGGGGCATGGACCAGACTGGTATAGTCCGTGGCCTGTTAGGAGCAGAGCCGCACGGCAGGAGGTGAGCAGTGGGTGAGCGAGCCCTACTGCCCAAGCTCCGCCTCCTGCCAGATCAGCAGAGGCGTTGGATTCTCACAGGAGCGCAAACCCTTCTGTGAACTGCGTGTGCAAGGGATCCAGGTTGTGTGTTCCTTATGAAAATCTAACTAACGCCTGATGATCTGAGGTAGAACAGCGTCACCCTGAAACTATCCCCCCACCCACACCCTGCCCATGGAAAAATTGTCTTTCATGAAACCAGTTTCTGGTGCGAAAAAGATTGAGGACTGCTGCCCTAAAGGGCACCCCAGGCCCCCAGCTCCGCCCTCTTGTGCCGGGTTCTTTCCATGACCCACCCAGCGGGGAGGGTGTCTGCCCAGGGGGTTTGGACCGTCCTGTCCTTCAACTGTCAGTAAGCTCCAAATGCAACTACCAGGTACCTTGGCAGTGCCCTGTGCCCTGGACGTCTCTGCAGCGTGGAGTTTCCCCAGCTGCCACCCTGCTGCAGATCAGGATTATTGAGAGGCCACTCCTTCACCACTGCCATGTGGCAGAGGTGTGGGACTGGTAAAAAAAAAAAAAAACCTCAGCTGTCACGCATCGCCCACGAGGGGCTGGGCACAGGTCTCCTCTGTGTTCCCACGGCTGCTGCTACTTCCACTATGGTGCTCCAGCCCAGTACTACTGGCTCCCTACTCCACTGTGCTGTGGGCTCCTCTAGGAAGGGAACTTGGCTTCGTTTTGGCTGCACCCTCACCCTAGCCTGTATACAGTAGGTGCTTAATAAATGTTTCATCCTTGAGTGGATAGATAGAACCTGAAGAAAAGCAGATGTTTTAGATTTACCAGTGCATTCATTCAGCAAGCATTTATTAGGCTCCTGCTGTGTGCCAGGTGCGGCTCTAGACCAGGAGGAAACAGAAGTGAACGGGTAAGTGCCTTGTCCCCGTCTCACCTGCTCCCCAGGTCCTCACCTGCCCTCAGCAGACCCAGCAACTGCCTTCTGGCTGGTTCTCTGCCCACTTTGCATTCTTCTTGAAGCTACCAGGGAGACCCGCTGATCTGCGAGGCTTCCTTGGCTCTCCTCTGGCTATGGGTCAGCATGAATGCTGCAATTAGGTGCTGGTGGCTGTCCATAGGCTGTCACCCCTTGTAAAGCCCTTGTTCCCACCCCTGTGGCTTTACGCCAGCTTCGCCCACAGCGGCCTGCCTGTCTGCCCCAGTGCATCCGTGCTCACCCCGGCTTCTGTATGCCCCATTTGCTGTTCCTGCGGCCTGGCTGGTGCATCCTCCTAGGGAGGGACCTTGATCACCTGCCTGCTGCAGGTAAGGCTTTCCCTGCTCCTTGCTCCCAGCCCCTCCCTTCCATGTACCGCTGAGTTTCCAGTGATGGCAGTAAAATGGGAACTGGATCCAGTTGCTCCCTGCTTCTCACGCTTCCTGTTACACTGAAAGATGAACTCCTGCCAGCCTCACTGCCCCCACTTCCATCCCGCTACCCCCACTTCCACCCCGCTACCCCCACTTCCACCTCACTGCCCCCACTTCCACCCCGCCACCCCCACTTCCACCCCGCCACCCCCACTTCCACCCCGCTACCCCCACTTCTACCCTGCTGCCCCCACTTCCACCCTGCTGCCCCCACTTCCACCCAACGATGCCCACTTCCACCCCGCTGCCCCCACTTCCACCCAACGATGCCCACTTCCACCCTGCCACCCCCACTTCCACCCCGCTACCCCCACTTCCACCCCGCTACCCCCACTTCCACCTCACTGCCCCCACTTCCACCCCACCACCCCCACTTCCACCCCGCTACCCCCACTTCCACCTCACTGCCCCCACTTCCACCCCCTTACCCCTACTTCCACCCTGCTGCCCCCACTTCCACCCCGCTGCCCCCACTTCCACCCAACTATGCCCACTTCTACCCTGCTGCCCCCACTTCCACCTCACTGCCCCCACTTCCACCCCCTTACCCCTACTTCCACCCCGCTACCCCCACTTCCACCCCGCCACCCCCACTTCCACCCCGCTGCCCCCACTTCCACCCAACTATGCCCACTTCTACCCCGCTGCCCCCACTTCTGCCCCACTACCCCCACTTCCACCTCACTGCCCCCACTTCCACCCCGCTACCCCCACTTCCACCTCACTGTCCCCACTCCCACCCTGCCACCGCCCCCCATGTCTGTGCTCCTGGATGAAACTCTTTCTCCCCACACCTCAGGATGCTGCTGCCCAGGCCCTCAGATTTTGTTATCGTGACCACGCTGACTTCAATGCAATTCAACAAGCACTTGCTGAGCACCTACTATGTGGCAGGCCCTGACGTGGAGCTGGGACACAGCCACGGATAAACACACCCAGATCCCTGCCTCAAAATGTCGCCCATTGTCTAGCTTACCCCCTTCATGTCACACAACTGATGAAAGCAGTACTCAGAGAGGGTGAGTCACTTGTCCAAGGTCACACGGCAAGTTGACGGGAGAACAGGAGCAGAGCTCAGGTTTCTAAACCTGATCTAGAACGTTCTCTCTCCCTGCCTTGCTCTATCAGTCCATCCTATGTTTCAATCTTCAAGAAAACATTTGCCTGTAACTTAGTCTGGACTTGGCTTTAATGTGCAATTATAAGCAAAAAGAAGAAAATGAAGAATACCAGGATATCCAGACATAAACAGTAACGTGTTAGAGGCCCTTCTGGGCTTTTTCCTATGCATAGCCGACATCGTGAAAGTTCTATTTATACAAAATGTAAATTTACACTTTGTGAGTTTTGCATTTAATGATATAGAAAGTTCATTTCTCTGCAAGATCTTCTGCAGTGTGGATTTTATAGCTACCTAAAATTCCCTGCTGTAAGGGAGAGGAAAAAAGGGAGAGAGAAAGTTCCGGATCAAATCAATTCCCTCTTACTGGGCAGTCGAGTGTTTGCAATTTTTACCAACTATCAGCAGAGCTGAGATAAACGTGACTGTACATAACTCTTCTGCACCCTCTGATCACGTTTTGGATACATTTGTCAAAGTCAAATGGCTGAGACTCGGCATAAACCTTTCGAAAGGCATTTAATACTTCTTGGTTGACAGCCCTTCCAAAGAGAAGTGTTCGTTTACAGTCCTGGTAGCTCAAACACTGCCCTGCCGCGGGCCCTTTTGACCTCTGACAGACGGACAGGAGAAAATGGAATTCTGAGGTTTTTCTCATTGGTGTTTATTTTGTAAATTAGGGAGCTGACCATGTCTTTTTAATAAGGCCACTGGCCATTTTGTACTTTCTTTTATATTATTTGAGTGTTCATCCCTGTTGCCTGTTTTACTATTTGACATTATTAACACTGTTTTTTTTTAAGCTCCTGCTTTCTGCTGCAGTGAAAAACAAATGTGCAATATGCCGTTTTGCACAGAAGCAAGCGGTGAGCAAAGCTGCCCGGAATTCGCCCAACAACAAAGAGATTCACGCAGCTGCCACCAGGGGTCACTCTATGCACACTGCCAGGGCCCATCCAGGAACTCCGAAAGCCCCTGACATTGATCGTGGTCTCAGCTGTGGGATGACAGTGGACAAGGAGTTTTTAAGAGCCTGGGTTTTCATCTGTCTGCACAAGCATCTCTAGGACCCTCCAGGGCAGGCACAGCCCTGGGCCATCCTCTGCCGTAGCATCATCGTCGTGTCATGTTCTGCACCTGTCTCCCCTGTAAGCTTTTGGAGAGCAAGGTGCATGCCTGGCTCACTGCATCTGGGACGTGGCAGGTGCTCAGTGCACGCTCACGGGGAAGCATTCATACCCATCTGTAGATAAGCCACGTTTGTCTTGCCAACTATGAATGGCTCTTATCTCCTTTTATCCTGAGCAGAAACCCTGTCCCCAAACTCCTCCCCAAGGTCAGGGTTTGTCTTTGCAGTGGTCTGTTCCTCTGGGGATCAGGGTTCCAAGTGACTTTCTCTAAAGCATATGACCCCAGGCAAGTTATGGGACTCCTCCCAGCTACAGGTTTCGGGACAGAGCACTGCCACAGCTGTCTTGCAGAGTCCATGAGTTCCTGTCTAGGAATGTGCTTTGTGAACATGAAGCAAAGAAAACATTCTTATAATGACTGCCCTCACCACAGTGCCCACTGTGGCTCCCAGAGCACAACAGACATAAACCAAGGGGCAGCTGCTGGTGGGGCCAAGCCTATGTCTCCTTTCAAACGCTGCTGCTTCCACTTCCTTGGGCAAGTGACTTTACCTCTCTGCCTCAGTGTTCTCCTCTGCAAAATGAGAATCAATAACTGTACCGCCTCATAAGCTTGTTGTGGGAACGCAAAACATTACCACACTGGGCAGGCAATAAACACTCCAAAGGCTGATGAATGTCAGCTTTCGTGATGATTTTCGATCTGTGGCACACATCTCTGGGACTAGACCCTCCCTCCCATTTCCCCATTTCTATGCCTCACTTCCCAGCACTGCCACTGTGCAGCTGTCCCTTCAGCCAGAAGCTTCCTTTTCCCATGGGCAGTGGAGCAAATAGCTTCATTGATGCACCAGGTCACTCACTCATCAAGCATGTCACAGCTGGTGACCAGGAGCTGTGAATGGAGCTGAAGTGAACCAGTTGGTGATGATGAGGGACACAAAGCTGAGGGCATGGGCATCTGGGCACAGTGAACATCA